AGACTTAGCTACTAGACGCCACTGTAATCCCATAGCATGTGGTATACATCTGCAAGGGTCTGGGCCACACAGGCTTTCGGAAGCTCATGATCGACACGATTCGGGATACAGACCTTAAGCCCCAAAAACTTCAGAGACCCTAAACCCTCAAAACATCTCAAACCTAGACATAGTGGATAGGTACCGCAAGCCCAAGCTCCAGAAGCGAGGTGTGTGGCATCTTCGGGTTTCGGCACAGCACTCTCGCTGAATGAGGAATGCGGGTTTAGGTAACGCTTGTTGTCTGCTGGGTCTCTTTATATATAGAAGCTCAGCATTATCATACGACGGACCGCCATCACATAAGATACATGCATCACAACCTACTACAACGGCACTTGGGCTTCTTGCGCCTCCTACACACCGAGTATTCCCACATCCATGCGCTAAAATAGTATACGACTACTTACATACATGGGCCGAGCTCCCGCACCTTCCACAGCCAAGGCTCTTCAACCCGGCGACGTTCCAGCTGATGAGGTGCAAATCTGCACTCCGCGCCATGGCACAGAGGCTTTCGGCGAAAGGGTTTAGGGCCATTGGGGCTTTAGGTTGGGGTTCGGGGGCTGTGGAAAATCGCCGCTCTTGCCTTTGAGATTCCGACTCGAAGCCTGCACTACAGGCCTCTCAATGGATGTCAGGTTTAGGGCTGGGCACTGGTATCAACTTCGCTAGGTGCTGATAGTGTAAAGGGTGATTCTGTTAGGGAGGGCGGATCTTCAGCGCCGGTATCTGCTGTCTCCAAGTTTCGATCACTGCCTGTTTGAGGCTTTCCTGGCTCGGCATTCAATAATTCCACTCAAGGGGTGTAGGGTTGAGGCCAGCTAGTTTTCAGACAGCGAGCATTGCGTAGGGATCCCAAAGTGACTATGGGTTTGAACCGTTACGGCTTATTGGGGTCTCGACGATCAGTAATTTAGTCTCTCTTCGTAATGCAGGTCACTGCTGGTGTCAACGATACAGAAGTCCAACGCAGAACAACCCTCATGCCATGTAGAGGCCAGGAAGATGACGCCAACAAAAATTGGAAGTAGCACAGCTCTATGGGGCAACTTCCGGAATAACATTACTCTATTCGCGCCCCCTATGATCCTGCTTCGTCTTCTGAGCTCGACATCCAGAGGCCGCCACTTTGCAATGCACAGTGCTGCCGTTGACGGAGTGAGAGCGGCTGAACATTGAGTCTAAGTAGGGTAGGCTATGCGGTAAACCATGAACCATGCACAGTTCCCGGAACCCTATATGCTCCGAAATCCGACCCTGAACCCCCAAAACACCCTGAGTCGCTCACCCCACAAACCCGAGACCCTAATCCTGTACCCTCATGATACATGTATGTGTACGATCCAAAAAACGACCTGAAAAGATCTGCACAGGGATAGCCTTGTCAAGAGTTTCGGGACTCCGAAGGCTATCGATTTAGGTTTTTTTTTTTAGGGTTTAGGGTTTACGGTTTAGGGTTTAGGATTTAGGGCTTCGGGTTTAGGGTTTAGCGCCACCCTGAAACCCAAGTTCTCATCTCGCGGCTTTTTGTCTTATGGCCGAGCGGCACGATCCTACAAGGCATCGCATAAGCAACGCATGCATGCCTCAGAGGGTAGTGAAACGCGAAAGAGAGTTAGGGGCTTGGGTTGGGGCTTTGGAGACGGGGTGCGGTGACTTTGACAAGTGGACGATGTACCTACGGACTCAGTTGAAGGTCGCGACAAAGGCCTCTGGGATCTTGATGAAGTGTTGCGCAGATTTGCAGGTGTCTTGGCAGCTTGCTAACAGTTCGAGGCTTCTACCACAAAACCATGTCATGTCATGTAATGTCAATGATGGTGCAGGTGGCTTCGTGGTACTGCATGGAAAAGCTTGAGATGAGTTCAGGTCTGTGGTGAATTTGACTCTGCAGGGCTCCGGAGTTGGCGGGCAAAATCTTCGGGGACGAGGCTTCAGAGCCAGGGTTGGAACACCAGGCAGGACCAAGTTGGCCCCCACCGAGCTGTCTACAAAGCTCCAGCACGGCGTTGAACAGATGAGGAGAAAAAGTCCAGTGTCTTCAAGCTGAACTGATCAAGTTTGGCATAAGGGCCATCAGAAGGCCTAATGAAGAATGCCATTCTCCGACAGCTACCCAAGCTGCAAAGCGGCCGTGCCGGAGACCCTCGTCTCCATCAAGCTCTTCCTCAGCTGCTTCCATTCTGAGCCAAGCACCCATTTTCCATACAGATTTGGTGTGCCAGGGGAGGTCGACCATGCGAAGACCCTTAGAGCTGGGGCTTCAGAGTCCGTTTTAGATATCTGACTTTGCGCTTTAGCGCAGTTCGTCTTTCAGCTGGATATGGTACTATGGTATATGGTGCATGGGAGACTCAGTCATTCCATGGCAATGCTTCAGGTGCCGTAACTCGCGGAAAGCAGCAGTCGGAATGAATTCGGCGAACGACGTGAAACAGCAACCTTTGCGCGGAAGACGAACAACAACAAGACTTGCTCCTGTCTTTCAATCAAGAAGCCGCTTTATAAGTACTAAACCTTCAACACCGAAGCCTTCCACCCTCAGCCTCAGGCATCCCCAAGCACCTTAAGGTCCTCGTCCTAATCCCCATACCTCCCTGGATCCCCGGGCCCGCAACCATCAGCCCGAAACCTACGAATCCTGACTAACTAGGACGTCCACTATACTGGCACCATCATCAACATCATCTTCAACGGGTGATTGTCTCAGTTCGTCGTGATGATGAACCAGAAGAACTACACCGTACCCTCGACTCGAGTCTCCTACGATGCCGTCCTGCTCACATTGGGCGTCATACTGTGTATGCTGCTGATGAATTCGCAGACGCTTTTCGCTGGACTGTGGCTGGAGAGACAGCTTAGCCTAAACCCTAGAGGGTGAGTTCGTTTCAATATCCTTAAACCTCGCACCGCTGACCCTATGCTGCTCAACTTAACCGGAGGTCCCTACTGCAAACACCCCCGGTTTGGGAGGTACATCAACGGCCACAGAGTAGAAGCCCTCGTGGAGTATACCCTAAACCATAAAACCCTAAACCCTGATAACTAAAGCCCTGCGAGGCCCGTTCTGCGGGCACAAATGCAGACTCGGGTCGCTAAAGAACTGATTAGAACGACAGGGTCTGTGGCTAGAGTATACTCAGGTACATAAAGAGTTTAGACAAGCGACTAGCAACACACCCCCAAATGCTTGAAGCTTCGACACTCGAACCACTATCTCTGCTGGCCTCTGCAGGGAACAAACCAGGTAGCTTGCCAGGAGGTTCCCCCAATTCGATTCGCTCTGAGCCTCCTGAATAATGACACCCCTCCTCGGAAAAGGTTGTATTCTTCAAGATCATGAAACTGTACATACGATTAATTATATCAGGAGATTCGAAAGTTCGCTCTACGCCCACCGTTGCCACTTCATCCACCCTGGGCCATCCGCCACTCTTCGTCCTGCGAAACATGAAACATGGGCCCTGCCGTGTGTGTTGAACACAGCGGCAGTGCCCAAATGCTGAGAACTCTTGAGCGGAGAAGTCGCGCAGCATCCTCAACCCTAGGCCCGAATCGCTAGACCTACAAACCCTAACCCTGAACCCTAAGACACCGTATAATGGGCCCCAAAACCCCATTCTAATTAGTAAGGCCCCTATATTATAGTACCCTTATAGTAACCCTTCGTTATCCAAGGCCTCATGCCACCTGAATGGTGTACTTAGGCCCGGAGGCCCCTGCTCTGACTTCTAAGCAAACTCGGTAAGATCCAAACAGGCACAGCTGCTCTCAGCAGAGTCGCCTGAACATTTGGAGTAGGCTTCTGGGGTATATTGCAGTAGAAGTATATAGGCACCATACCTAATTCTCCTCATACCGTTACATATTATACTAGCGATGGTAGTTATTCGTCGTACGTTCATTCTTCTTAGGCCGACCTAGTACCAAACCCTGAAAACCAGGTGTGGGGGTTTGGGTTTAGGGTTTTGTGTTTTGGGATTAGGGTTTTGGGTTTAGGGTACATGGGCGCCTCATGAGAGAAACGCCATGGACCTGCACGATGCTGCGAGAGCTTTCCTGCCCAAGCCTATGAGTATTGAGCAGGTCTCCAGACTGATGCAAGACGAATGGTTTTGGGGGGCTCATTCGAGATATCGGGCCTGTCGCGCTTGTAATATCCTCACTGGCTTTGCACTCTGGCAACGTGTGGAGACCGTTTCAATGGCGACCTTGTGTCAAGGCAGGGCTGTTAGGCACGGTACTCTAATGATTCGTACTCAACATCTATAAATACGGTGTAAGGTTGCGGGTATGGGGTAGAGTTGCTTTACCTATGCAGATACTTGCGCCAGCACCCGCGTGGTCACCTTACCTCCCTTGATCCAGGAGGCTTCGGGGGAAAACTGCCCTTGTTGCAAAGGCAGGCAACTCTCGCCACACTCTTCGCAACACGGGCACTGGCCAGCTAGGGAGCCGAATTGCTCAGAGCACCCACCTCCTGGGAAAACGGCCTACTCAGCCTGAGTTGTCCTTGTGGGTGCAGGTGCCTGGGCTGCTCGGTTTAATTGTCAAGCCGCAACATAAAGCAACCGAATTTCCTTCAAAAGAAGCTACTAGTATATAGCGGAACCCCACTGACCAAGGTGGAATCTGCATGGGCTATGATTCTGTATTGAACACAACTGAGCTCACAACCCCAAAACCTCAAAACCTTTTCCCTGGAGCGCAAAACATCCTAACCAACCCTAGACCACAGATCCTACTCTCCTATACACCCCAAAACCTCAAAGCGCGTACCAGAATGTACAGCCCAAAGGGCCCCAAATCCTAAACCCAACCCTAAACCCCACAATGCCATAAACCCCCCTAAACCTGCGCCCAAACAAAATGAAAACCCAAAAGAGACAAAGCCTAAACCTGCACCCGAAACATGAAACCCAAAAGAGACAAAAAGGAAGCCCGAGCTTCGACCAACGTCACAGCTCGATGTCGTGGCTCACGGCGGAAACCGTGCCAAGAGCCAGCCTTGGCTCTTGAGTTCGAAAGATACGCTTCCTAGGGCTTTGAAGCAAAGAAGGGCTTCTACTGGCTTCATAGTTTGAGCTACAAAAGCCGTACACGTCTCTATAAATGCTTTCAGCGCCTTTAGAAGGCTTCCGGAACTCGGGCTCGGCAGAAGCGCTCTGCCTGTCTAGCTAGCTCTGAAGTGCCAGGGTTGAAATTTCAGGGCCCCCATGTAATCTTGCTCGCCATCGCAGCCGGCAATCACACAACCTGGAGTTCCAAAGCCGCATGGCCCCAAGCCCCGATTCCACCGGGATCTGAGCCGAAACCAAGACTCTGCATTACCATTGATATGGCCAACGCACAAACAGAACTGTAAGTTACCAAGGCTTAGAATTAGAAAACAAAAAACAGTGCGCGCAGATAACCGTGTAACTATACGGCAACATGCAAAAAAGTGTGGCAGGTACCTGCATTTCTGTACACCTTTCCCTTCGCTTTCGAGGCCTAGTATCCCTACAGTGCGCCTTTTGGGTATATAGGTACCACGGTCTGCGGGTGTTACCATGGGCTGCCCAGCGGCATGCTCTTGCGGCTGTAGGCCACGCCGGACCTATTGGCTCGGAGGGGCTTCTGGATCGTTGGGCCGTTTGGGCATAGGCCCTAAACCCTAAACCCTAAACCGTTTGCCCTGAAGCCCGGAGCAAGAACGAGCTTCGTATTCAATACGCAGGGTTCAGGGCTGAGCTGGTTTAGGTGGCCTTATAGTGTAGAAGCCGAAGAATTTAGAAATATTGCCAAACTAATAGTTATATACTTAGCGATAGCACAAGATTCCTATTTTTCGGTAATTATAGGCTTCAGCTGGATATGTTGGGACCCTGCTCTCTGCTCTGGGTAGTTTTCGGAGATCCTTGAGCGGTTTGCTGCCAAGCAGAGCACATCCTAAACCGTAAGACACCAAAACCCACAAACCCTGAGTACTTCAACCCTGAACCGAGAAAACCCGAAAATCCAGAAAGGCAGAATCCCGTTAGACCATTCATGGCGATGACTGCTGCAACCCTTCATATCTACTTCATTGACTTGAAGCGGGTCAGATTGATGATGCTCCAACTGTCTGGCCGCTGACTAGACAAGACCATATCCGAAAACCCTACCAACACAAATAGCCCTCACCACTCTCGGGGCCTAGAGTCACACAAAGTATACCCCGTTTTGACTACTACATTATGCCCCACGGACCCGTCACAACTGCAAGCTGTTCCTAAGGAGAGCCCAGCCCCAAACTGTAAACCCTTAACCCCAAACCATCAAACATAAACTCTTGACCCCAAACCCTAAAACCCTAAACCCTGCACCATCCCCTACAAGTAAAACACTGACCCAAAAGCCGTGGCACGGGAAGGGAAGCCGATGCCCTAAGGGTGCCAGAGGACCAGCCGGTCGGGTGCGCTTCCTTGTTTAGGGTTGAGGGTTTAGGGTGTAGGATCCTTGTTTAGGGTTGAGGGTGCATACACGTCTGCTTTGAGACTTTTGAGCCTCAAGCCCGAACCTTGGAACTCTCAACCGCGGTTTCAAGCACACTCCTGTGCTGCTGGGCTGGGCTTCTCAATGATCTCTACTGAACCACTGAACCCTACTCTCCGAACCCTACGCCCTTAACCCTATTTTGTTTTCAGGAGTTGGGCCGGGGCAGGGCTTCAGCTTCTTCGGAGTTGAGGCTCACAGATGCCCAAGATGTGCACCCGAGAGAAATCCTCAAGCCTGAGGACTTTAGGACAAGAACCCGGGGATTGGAGGTTCAGGTCTTTTTGGGGCCGGCTTAGGACTCACAGGGTGTGGAATTCCATCCCAAACCACTATGGCCCTCCTTCATGAAGATGCATGCCTTCATCCAAGAGGCTGCAGTGTGGGTGAGGAGGCTGACATCATCATCCTGAAAGGGGGGTGGGGGGCAGAATCCGACTCCCTAAGACTCAAGTCTGAACTGATTAAGGTTAGACTTTGCTGGTTTGGGAAGAGGGGTGCGCAGAGAGCCACCACAAAAATGTCCTTCTGGCTTGGGTTTGCCTTGAAAAGCACGCGTGAGCAGCGAAATCTGATCGCCTTGATTCCTTGATTCACAAACCGACAGCAAGCTTCCTCTCCCGGAACACGGACACCCCCAAAACTCCAACCCAAGCCCGAGCCTCAACCCCTTAGGCCCCAGAACCCCCACAGCCCCCCAAAGACTTACATCGTTAAGTCCCAAAGCCTGCCCAGGGCCTCACATCGTGGTTTAGGATACGTCTAAAAAGCCCGAAACCCGAAACCCTGAATCAACAAAACCTAATTCAAAACACCTGTTGTTTCACCATGGTTCCTTTGGGGAACCGGTGCAACAAAAAAAACAACGAAGTATAGCACTGCAGAATCCTAAACGCCAGACCCTGTAAATAAACCCCGAACCAAAGGTGACAGGAGGCCTCGGGTTCAGCGGAGGCGTTTCGCCAGGTTGGACGACCTCAACAGCTCTCTTCCATGGCTTCCGGAAAATCTGGTTTAGCAGGATGATTAGGGTTGGGCTGAGTGTTCAAGCCTTGCGGTTTAAAGCCCACAGCTTCCTGGGTGGCTACAGATGATCCAAGGAACTATAACTTACCTCCCGGAGCCCAGGGAAGCAATTTGAGGGTTCGTCGAGCTTCGGGGCTCCGTTTTTTTCTTGCTTGGCTGGACTCTTGCCGATGCTTTCATATTTAAGGCTCAGGTCCTTAGTATTGGTGGTTTCGTGATGAGCGTTTTAGGGCGGGCTTGCCTTTGACATGTCAATGTGCATACATCCACATGCAAGTTCTCATAGCACCAACGAGGAAGTCCACATGTGGGGATGAGGGGGGATTCAGGTTGCTTGTAACATACCTCCCCTGAGGGGAGTGCAGAAATCAAATGAAGCTTCTTCAGGCCGACTCCGGTTTAGGGTTTAGGGTTTAGGCCGACAAGAGGCATTATTCTTCGGCAGGGGTGGCTGCAGCATGACGTGCTGGAGAAACTCCAGCTCCTCGGTGCGGCAAAAGGGAGGCTGGGTGGGGTTTAGTGTAGGCTTCACGGCGGTGGCTTGAAATCAACAAAGCACTCTAAGCCCTGAACCCGAAGTGACCAAGTAGCAACAGCTTCCCCAACTGCTACCCCCTACTACCATACGTATCCTAAACACCAGTTGAGCCCTCTGCTGTTTACTAACCCGAGCCAAGGCACGCTGAGCGGACCGGCCTGGGACATTCGTCTGAGGACGTGCCTTGGGCACAGGCAGAAAGACGGACAAAAGCACACAGATCAGGACCAGCTTCGGGCGTATTTGGTGGATTTGGAAATTTAGGGCTTCGAGCTTGGAGCGTAGCGCGGCTCCCGGGCTTTTCCTCTCTTCAAGATGGTTGCAAGTTACATGTTCTTTCGAAAATTGGGGAACTAGGATTCGAAAGCTCACGGCTCCGATGCAGCCCCCAGCCCGGAAGGTGGGTCAGGGCAGCTCTGCCAATCCCTGAACCTGGTCCCTAAACCCTAAACTGCCCTAAACCCTGAAAACTGCATGGAATCAACACTTCGACCAGGAATGCCATGTGAGTTCCGTTGCAGCAGATGGGCAGTTATCCGAACCGAGGTCCCTTTCTGAATCATTAGGTCACTCGAACAAAAGATACCCCAATTCATTTTATACCTGGCCCCAGGCGCAGAAAGACCCGGCGCATTTGCTGCACGAGCACTCGGGCCCCCAAAGCAATACTCAACTGACTACGGCCCTGAGCAAAGCCCCGAGCAAAACAAAACATAGAATGCCAATCCATCAAGGTCTCTTTAAGTCTTTTGGCCCAATGCCCTGCAAGCTTAAGGCCCTACACCCTAAACCCTCCCCCCTCCCCACTCTAGAGCTTGAGCCCTTCAAGCAAGAGGCCAGCCAATTCCTGCTGCCATCTGCTCGTCTGGCTCCGGAACCAAGAAGATGCACTTCCTTAGCGATACATGATTGGGTGAGGGCTTTTGGGCTTTTGGGTTCATGGCTTTTGGGATTACGGGCTTCGGGTTTACGGCTTGCCGCATGCCTCCTACACACATCCTATTAAACCCTTTGCAAACGTATAGAGCGCCTAGAGGGGGCCGATGAAACCTTGCAAAACAATCGGTGAAGCCTGGAACTTAACCCTGAGCCTTAAAAACCCATAAAGATAAACGACAAGTGAACACCAACCGAAAAACACCAACAACAACTAAACGATAACTCTTAAAGATTGCAAACAGGGAAACAGTCGTGGCAAAAAGCCATCATCAAACCCTAAAGGCCCCAAACAAAATCGCAAACCCTAAAGCCCTGCAGAAACCCTATAAAACAACAACCGAAAGCCAGAAACCCGGAAAGTTGCAGAGCCTAGGATCAGCTCCGGTGGGCACTGAGGCGCCCTGAAGATGGCTTCCATGTCCTGCCAAGAGAGGAAACTTCAGATTTCGGGCTTATAAGGTCTGGGATTTCGGGTTTAGGGCCTGGGGGTTGTGGATTTTTGGGGGGGTGGTTTAGGGATTTCGGATTTCGGATTGAGGGGTTTAGGATTTTGGGGTTTAGGGTTTAGGATTTTTATGGCTTCGGGTTCCGGGATTTTGGGATTTGATCAGTGAACCCCTTGATCCCTGACGCCCTAAAGCCCTGAACCAAACAGTCCGTGGCTGTCAAATCGCCGAGCGCTTTGATCGCGCGACAGCCGCTGCTGCTGCGGACAAATGGTTCGGGCGCGATCCTGTGAGACTTGGTGGGTTTCGGGGCTATGGGCTTCAGGGTTTGGGGCTTAGGGTTTTTTTTGGTTTTAAGCTCCTTTTTCCCAGACGCAGGTCCAGCAGTTTGGGGTTCAGGCATGGGGCTTAGGATCCAGGATTTAGGGTCCTAGGTTTTGGGCTAAGGATGGCTGAGGGCGTGCAGGGCCGGCGGGGTTTACGGCTCCGGGTATGGACTATGGGTCCAGGCCTTGCGGTTCACGGTTGAGGCTTTGAGATTAGGGATCCGACTTTGTCATTCCACTTCAGTCTTCTGGGTATATAGCCTGCACCGTCAACCCCAACGCGGCTCCATTCTGGTTAACCATTCACCTGGCGAGGAGCCTGGAATGCCAAACAGAAAAGCGACTGCACCGGAGGCTATGGATGTAGAACCCTTGTGGTATCCATTTGGAACAGTTGGGCTCAATTAGACACCGTATAGAAACGCTTATGGGTAAGTAAGGCCTCTCACCACAAGTTTAAAGCCCTGCACCCAAACCCTCACCCGATGCTACAACCAACCGTATAAGCCCGGCACGCTAAGTCCTCAGGCATCCTAGACACACCGACAAACCCTATGTGCCCGAAGGCCTATATTGGCCCATATATTTTTGAAGGCCTAAAATCCTCCAGAACCTCTAGCAGGCCATAAGCCCGTAAAAGTCTTTGAACTCGAATTTGTAACCCAGAAGCAGTCAGAAGGTCTTATGCCGTCGAGGCGCCAAACATGGACCGCAGGTAGGGCAAAGCTTTCACTCTTTTACGGCAATGCACAATGACTATCGATGCCAGCTGCCTTTACAAAGTTCTTTAGGCCTGAAATGCAGCATTATGGCGAATCGTGATTTGTGCTTAAGCCGACATCTTGCCAACTCAAGTCGTGACTATTGCGTCACCAGTGCATACACTCAAGAGGAATGCTTCATCTCTGCACTCCTCCTTGACACCACCGTGAGGGCAGTGTCATCAACATACTGGCATTCCGCGCGTTCTCACCTTCTATCGAAAATGCTTCTGCCAGCGTTCTCTGTACAGCATCTGCACAACTGCACATTCTGGGCCCTTCCGGTATTACGCAAACCCCAGCATGTCGGAAAAAGATGTAGAACATCCCGTCCTGGTACTTGATAGAAGGGTCCCGCGTACATTTCCACACGAACCGGCGGCACTGGTTCAGGATGTACTCGCTCAAAGGCTGGAGTGGCTTGAACACCTTGATCCCTTGTAGAAGGCTGTTTATTCCTTCCCGTAGACGAAGATGGTACATCGCTTGGAAGTGTTGGGACTGGCGAGGTGCCTTGGGGCATTGTGTTCTCGAATCTCGTCCTAAGTTCAACCAGACGAAACTTTTGGTCCACGGTCAAATCCTCCGGGTTCAAGGCGAGGATCCTTTGCAACTCTTTCAGCTCTGCCTTGGTGAGCTTCTGCTGCGTCGCTTTGTTGGCTTTAACCCTCAATGCCCGCAAACGAGCCTCCTTCTTTCTCCAGCAGAACTTAAACGCTTCCCACAAGCCAATAACAGCTATAGCAAGAACCGCGACTACTAGATAAAGGTCCCAGGCAATCTCTGGCTGGATCGTATTCTGCTCTGAGGCTGCTGTTCCACAAACTTGACAGAACATTACCAACTTCGAAAGCCAACCTTGATGCCCGGCTCCTTGTGTGGTGGCTCGCCGCGCTGATGGATCACGAGGAGGCCTTCGGTCAACCACACCCCACAGCTCCACTAGCTTCTTCAAACGATCTTTGGGCAATGCCTTGGTTCCTAGGTCAGCTCTCTGAGTTTCCCCAGGTTCATGTTGCAGGTAAAGTTCCCGCATCATCATTCGCTCTCTCACCCAGTTTGATCGTAATCGTAGGTGTCTCGTCCTCCAACTTGCAGAACTGCCACCAATAAGTGAGATAGCAGCCTGGTTGTCAATGTGGAGGTACATGGGCAACTCACGTCCCAGGAGCTCTTGTAGCAGACACTTTGTGGCCAAACCCAAGGTAGTGCCATCCACAGCCTCAACCATCTCGCTCTCAGCGGTGCTAAGAGTTATCAGCTGTTGCCTCGACGAACGCCAGGAGATAGGTGAAGTTCCCCAGAACACTGCGGCACATCCATGAGACCGACCAGAGGAGGTTGCAAACGAGGAGTCAGTAAATATATCCAACCGCTGTTCAACATCGTCACTCTTTACGAACTTCAGCCGGTAATACTGAGTCTCTGCCAAGTAGTCAAGCAACCTTTCACCCAACTCATTCACCAACTCTGGTACTCGCGTAATCCTGGAAGACATAATTGAAGTGATATATTGCAGATCGGGGCGTGACCTTCCAGTTAACCAAAGAAGCTCTCCTACCCGTTTCTGGGCTTGTTTGACCTCTGCTTCACGACCCTCCAAGTTCACGGGCTCGGCGTTCAAGAATGCCTCTTCTTCTTCTGGTGAAAAGACCATCATCTCTCTGGAACCTTGAGACCAGGACCTTGAACCCTTGTGGTTGTATGCCCGGAGCAACTCACTGATGAAGCCATGCTGTGCCACCTCTACTCCTCCTGGAACCTTATGTATCTCCAATCCCAGGAACCGTATGGAGTTGTTCTCATTCAAGACATTGAGTTCATCGCATTCCCAACGGGCTGAAACCCATGCAAAGAAAGAATGTAGGATCTCCGAGGGTCCGGTAATCAGCAGATCATCAATGTACACCATCACATAGCCTAGGGCCTGGCTTGGGTCATCAACATCAACGACCTTCCACACTTGATTGTCGGAAACCAACTGCTGAAGTCTCAACTTCTTGGTGACTCCATTGAGTTCCGTCTCCCAAACCGCTGCACGAAGCTCTTGGTCTCGAAATCCTGACCAGAGGGCAGGGGCCTCTCTAAGGCCGTAGATTGACATTAAGACTTCCCACATGTCTCCAGGCTCAGCTAAGCCGAGCTCAAATGCAATGCTCGGTGGCTGCAATGCAACCGAAGCCCCCAACCATGGAGCCAGCACAAAAGCCTGTCTGATGTCAGTGGTTCCAGTAAGCCAATTGGAACCCGCCGTGTATGCGAACATCGTGCGAAGCGAAGTTGAGTCTAAGCCAGCAGCGAACAGATCAAATCCTTCCGGCATCATGCTACCTTCAGGAACGTGATTTCCACACGCAACAAATCTGGTTTTCCTCTTGTAGTAGTTGGGAGGAGCATCTGGTTTGACTGTGAAGACACCCTTACAGGGCACTATTTTGCATCCTTCTGGGAGATCCCACCGTTTGGTGACCTTGAACGCCTTCTTCTTATCCCGGAGGTTGGTGAACTCCTTTACCGCGGAATCATACCACTTGGAGATATTCTTCTTCACATCTCCCAAGTTCACGGTGTGCGTCACTTCCAAAGCCTTGCCCGTGGCCTCCAAGTCTTGAAGGATGTTCTCAATGTCCGGTGTGCATTGAACTTCGGCTTTCTTGAGCATTGCACGCGAGGGGCAAGGATTACGGTCTCTAAGGTTGAAGTCAAGGAAGTCCAATTCATCAACCTCAATGAAGGCCTGGATCATCTCATTAACCTCAACAACATCGAACCGCTTTATCACCGCCTCGCTTTCAAGATCGTCCTCACCAGAATCCTCAACGTTATCCTTGGCCTTCTCGATCACAAATCCGGCTTCTTGAAGTCGCTCGTAGTCCTCATCATTGAGTTTAGACGTTCTTGGGGTGTAGAGCAACATCACAAGACGATCCCCTTCCCAAGGCTGTACTTCATGCCATTTGCTTGGTGAAAACTCGGTGATCTTGTTCTTCTCCAAAGTCAGAACACGCCCTTGAAGCTTTTGCCCATTGGGAAGGACCTTTTCCACAGCCGCACTTGGATCAAGATCATCATCCTGGATCCACAAGTTTCCTCCACTGAACTCAGACAAAGGAATCACCATGTTCACAGTCTCTCTCGAGTTATGAGAGTCGCGGTGCAACCCCAGGGTGCTGTTTCGCGCGATTCCCAAAGCACTGAACTGGTGCTCTCCACTGTACTTCTTCGCGAAGGTTGCCAGGAACTTCGTAGTAATCGGGTACTCCTTTAAGTTTGAACGAACGCCCGCTTTTCCTCCATGAACGAAAGCACCTGTGTACCACGAGGTCATTGTAGTTTTCTTCGCTGCACGAAAGTCCACATCACCTAGTTCTTCAAGCAAGTCGTAGATCTTCACAACCTGCTCGATGGTGTAGTTGTTCTCTGACATGGCCTTTCGTGACATGAACTCCACTTCCTCGCGAAGCTGCTTCTTCGTGGTTGGCAAATCATCGTCCAGTAGCTTCCCAACATCACCTTCGACAGTAGCGTGAGGGAGGAGTTCCTGTAGATCACGCTCAGGTTCTACAATGTTGAACTTTACGCCCTTTGCAATGACAAGTCCCCCATCTTCTCGTAGGATAACATGTCCACGGCTGACCTCTCTTGAAGGACCACGATAAGCACCCTTTTTCCATCGAACACCATCCGGGTCATACTTCTTCTCTTTCTTGCCCTTGTATCCCTTGGAACGAAACCAAACCTCAGTGCCAAAGGGAACTGCTGGAGGATTTGTCCATGAGCTGGAGGGAAAAGCCTTCGACCACAAACTGCTCGTTGCATGATCCATTGCCATCGGCCAGTCTTCTGGAGCAGCCTTTGCACTTTTAAGTAGAGATCGTACTCGCGCCTTTGCCCATTTCACTCCCAGCTCCGCAGTGCTATTGGCGGCTGGATCTCCTCCAGCTGTTCTGGTCTGCCGAAGCTTCTCATCATTGACCCAAGTTTTGAACATCTTGGTCTTGAACTCCCTCGCTCGGTCCGTGTGCACAGTAGCTACATGCAGCCCCGTTTGCCGTAGTTGTAGAAGGATTTCTTTCGCAGCTTGTAGTACCGCAGGTCCCGTTCTCCTCCTCAAACAACGGGTGACATAGATGGTGGAGTACTCAACCTTCTTGGTCAATTCTTCCACTTCACTTTCCACCTTTTCCACTTCCTCCGTTGATGACTCTTCAGCCTCAGCTTCTTTTTCTTCTTCATCATCCAACTGTAAAGGATCGTCACCTTGAGGCTGTCCTTCATCATCAGAAGGTACATATAGCTCACGTTCAAGTTCGGTCAGGGCCATTGAGCTCAGGTATTGACGAGGGCATCTGTAAGCAGCAATCATGATGTACTTGTAATCCTCGAAGTCCATATCTCTTCCTTTCTTCTTGAAAGGACCTGCCAAGTCCATTGCGAGCGTATACATTCCCGGCAGCCTTCTCCTTCTATGCTGATAGCCAGTGGCCTGAGCATTTACGCACACAGCACAATCAGGGCGATAAGGTTGGTGGTCGTTGTATATATGGTTTCTCCATTCTCTCCGTTGTTCTTGAGTCAACTTGTTTAGTCTAACTCCATCGGTGATCTCCTCTTCGGATATTGCGGAGTTGTCGTAGTAGCCAAGGATGTTCTCCGCAAGAATCGCCTTGAACTCCCTTGACCAACTGTTCAGCTCACCCTTCTTTAGTAACGACGGAGGAACACAGCTGTCAGCAAAATCCCAATTCTCATCCATCCCAATCACACCTGGATAATTCGTAGCTGCTGTCGTAGGCTTCTTTGCCTTGTGGCCGTAGGCTCCCATGTAGAAGTCAACCCGCTTCACGCCACCAACAGACTTAAAAGCCTTCCACATTTCCGTTGACCAGAAGGAAGCCTGTACCGGCTGATCGTTTCTCAGGCGCTCAGGGTCTTGAGGAAGATCCATGAAGAACCCCACTCCTCCTGGTCCCCTGACTGAAGCGACCATCCATATAATCAACTGCTTTGCAATGCAGGCAGTCTCCTGATCAACTCGATGTTGCTGTAGAGGTTGCAGTGGTTGTTGTCCATACGGCGACGTAGTAGTTCGAACTGGATACAGGCTCGGTCTCCTCGGTGCCATTGAAGTTGGCCAGGTGGAATGTGGAGGGCTTCCCAACACATCCGTTATCTTCCCTTTCGCCGCAGCCCATAACAGCATACGATATACTCCCTCCTTGCGATGGATGTCCCACTGCTTGGAGGCCTTTGTGTCCACCTCCACAATCATCTTGCCCCCTTTCGGAAGCACATTGAATGGACCGTTCTCACCATCACCTTCTCTTGAGTACAGATGAACCACCCAAGAGTTCGACCTCATGAGAGCCCTCCTCCTCCTCTTCGTCAGCGGAAGCTCCTTCAAGTAGTTCTCGCCACCATCCGGATTGAAACCTTCGGCAATCATTGCGTGCACATCGCTCGGAAGGTCTTTGGTGACAGGGCACAAAAGAAGAGCCTTCAGGAGGGTTGCCTGGCATCCAGTGTTCACATACTCCTTCATCAACACATCCCAAGTCCGATGTTCTTCCTTGCGTAGAACTTCCAGTCTTGCTGTTAAGGAATTCACCTGCGCACTGAGCTGTGCTAAGTGTTTCGCCTCCAACTCTTTGATAAGGCGGTGGGCTTCCCTGAAGTTGATTTCGGGACAGTTGTTGTTGAGGTAGACTTTGATGAAGCCCTTGGTCGGATGTCTCAGCTTGACCGTTCCTCTATTCCACTGCAGGCTGCACCCAAGGTCCTTGATCAGAGGTCCCATCGGAACTATGGGTTGTACCTGGTCGTTGCCTCGTTGGTCACCAAGACAGTTCCACAAACGTTTTGCCGTAGGACTCTGGTATCTTCGCCCGCAAGCGTAACCTTCACTGGAACACCTTGATCATACTCTTCCTGAGTGGCCTGCTTGAGGGCGTGGCTTGCTCCACTGTCCAAGAGGCCACGTGGTCCACCATCTTCGCCCTCACTTTCCTCTTCCGCGTCGCAGTCCTCGGAGACAACCGCACACTCAGTTGCCGAACATGTTGTCAATGTCGTCCCAGAGTCGCCTTCCTCACAGTCCTCGTTCTGCGTAGTCAAGCTGCGGATGCTTGGACCATAACTCTTTTCCACATCCTTCACGGTAAACCGTTTCAAAGAGGACGCCGTCATCACCTTCAGCATCTTTCCCACATCGGCCAAAACCTCCTTCAAGTCAGGGACGGTCTCACTTGACGTTGTAGTCGATGACGTAGAAGTTTCCTGAACTTGGGGCTTATCGTCGATGCGAACCGTCTTTGTAGAAGTTGACGTAGAAGGCTGCGAGGGAGTCGAAGGAGCTGCCTTGTTCGGCGGTGCCTTTGGAGTTCCCGGAGTAGTAGACGGGGGTGTCGTAGTTGGAGTACTCGGCTTCTTGGTCGGGCAATCTTTCGACATATGTTTGCCACCACATAGGTGACACCGAGATGACTTCTCCTTCTCGTTCCCCTCCCAGGTATGCAAGAACGGACATCGCGTTCCCCTGGCACACCCCTTGTACGACTTCCCGAAGTATCTGCATGGGACCTGTGCGCGCTTATCCCCTTCCTCCTCAGTGCCCGAACCAGAAGTCGTAGGCCTCGTGGTCGGTTGTGGTGGTTGAGGTTGCGTGCCCTTTGGCTCCGTTTTCATAGGCTTGATCTTCGGTTCCGGCTTGTTGTTCGGGGATGTTCCCGTACTTGTTGTGCTTGACGTCTGGGTGCTCACGGCCATTGCTTCACACTCTGCCAACAGGTGGTGGTAGTACTGCTCAACCGAATCGTATGACGGCTTCGTATCTACCAAAAGACTGCTTCGCACCAAACTTGTTCTAAAGCTCACTTCATGATCTCGCTCAAGCACCAGCTTAGTCATAGCTGTCAGTCCTCTGGCCAACAGACTCGGATCCGGCGCAGAAACGCCAAGATCCCTGCATCGCCTCAGCCACCGAGCCCATGCCCTCAATGCCACAACTGCTTTATGAGGATCTTGTTCTTGGCTAGGTTGCTGTAGGCTTTGAAGGATATGCACTTTCTCCTGCTGGCCACCTGGTTGGTAGATTGTGAGGAGTCTGAAGATTAAGCCGGTGACAGAACCCGTAGACCTTCTCGAGACCATCTCCTGACGCACATTCTCGTGGAGAGCAAGAAGGATCATAGAAGCCGCTCTGGAGTTCACACGACTCCACCGTCCCGTTTCAAGTGCCTCCACCCGTGGGGGTTGTATCCGAAGCTTCTCGACAGGGCTCGCGCTTGTCCACAAACTGTAAGACTTCTCTGCTTCAGCCTTGACCCGCAGCCACCACTCCGCCGAACCATCAGAAAGATCCGACATCGGAGCTGCAATCACCTCCAGCCAGTCCATTATGTCCACCGAAGACGTAGAAGGAGAAACGCCTGGTAACGCAGGTAAAGCTGTAGTCCCCGGCTTAACCGCCTCCGGGCTTTGTTCACCCGCACGATCATGCTCTGAGGTCAACTGCTTTAACATCACCGCCTGCAACTGCGCCATTCCTCCAGCCAATAACGCCATTGGATCATGACCAGGTGCACTACCTAACCATTGTTCCGCTGAAGGTCTCCCACCACTCTTGGCCTTCGGAATCGACTCCTCTCCGGACGGGTAGACGCTCGGACCACCTATTCCACTCTGACCACCATGCCCATCTTGAACATTATGACCATTCGCAGACTGTGCCCCAACATCCTTAGAACCTGGAGGATCACCGAGAGGTTGCTGAAAGTTCCCCTGCTGAACGCCTGGATCACCCTGAAGCTGTGGACGAGGATCACCGAGAGGTTGCCGAAAGTTCCCCTGCTGAACGCCTGGATCACCCTGAAGCTGTGGACGAGGATCACCGAGAGGTTGCTGAAAGTTCCCCTGCTGAACGCCTGGATCACCCTGAAGCTGTGGACGAGGATCACCGAGAGGTTGCTGAAAGTTCCCCTGCTGAACGCCTGGATCACCCTGAAGCTGTGGACGAGGATCACCGAGAGGTTGTTGAAAGTACCCCTGCTGAACGCGAGGATCACCCCGAAGCTGCGGAAAAGGATCACTATGAGGTTGCTGAAAAAGTCCTTGCGTTACACGTGGATTTCCCGCTTGTTCATTAGCACCCCGCTCCTGATTGGAACGGTGGACTTCTGCATCCAACAAACTCTTAGCCCTCAACTCCCATTGCTCTTTCTCCATCTTCAGCTGCTGGACTTCCATTGCCATCTTCTGCATCTCGGCCTGATGGCGCGTGTTGTACTCCTCCAACTGGCGTTGCACTTCGGCCTGCAACCTTGATGAATGCTCACTCCCTCCCTCTGAGGTCTGTCCATATATATGCGGATACTCCAATTGAGCCTGCCTCATTCTATCCAGTTGAGCTGGACCAAACAAGGGAGCCTCCGATGCAGTAGGTCCATCCCAAGATCTAGGACGTGGACCCACAGCTCGACGCGGAGCCGCTGGGATCTCCTCAGGAGGAGAGTACACAACCATCGTGGCATGATTCTCTGACGTCCCTGGTAAAGGCGCAAAGCGGGTAGCCTCGACAGTCTCAGGATGAAGTGGTGGGATCCCCAAACCATCCAACATGCGGTCAACACTCACGGCTCCTCTGTTCGCGGTAGTCCTCAAAAACTCAGTGAAGCGAGCCATCCATCTCACACCCTGCTGCTCGTTCGTAGTCCTCGACTCAGCAGAGTAGTATCCTTGAACTGTCACTGTAGAGCCTGCAGGAGTCATAGGTTGTCCCGTTTGCTCGGCTGTTGGTGTCATCATCTCTGTGTGCCTTGCTCCCGTACTTATAACGTTCGCGCTCCGATGCGGATCTTCATAAGAAGGCTCTGCTTGCAGCGGAGGATTCGCTAGAGGTTGCACAGCGGGTTGAGCTTCAACAGGCGGACCACTGGGGGGAGCTGGATCATGTAGATTAGGATTTCCTAGCTCTTGAGTTCCCACATCATCTGCCACATGTTGTTGATAAACCTGACGAGGCACACCATTAACCAAAGCATTGGCGGAACCTGCGGCGCCACTTGAACTCGCCGCTGCTCCCGAAGCTTCTGCGGAGCTTCGCTCTGTACTTTGGGCGACCATAACCTAAAAGTCTTTGAACTCGAATTTGTAACCCAGAAGCAGTCAGAAGGTCTTATGCCGTCGAGGCGCCAAACATGGACCGCAGGTAGGGCAAAGCTTTCACTCTTTTACGGCAATGCACAATGACTATCGATGCCAGCTGCCTTTACAAAGTTCTTTAGGTCTGAAATGCAGCATTATGGCGAATCGTGATTTGTGCTTAAGCCGACATCTTGCCAACTCAAGTCGTGACTATTGCGTCACCAGTGCATACACTCAAGAGGAATGCTTCATCTCTGCAGCCCGATAGCTAAAGAAAAGCCTGGGAAGGCAGAGACCAGCCTAGCCGGTTACGTTCCGGAAGGTCTGCAAACCCCGGTATACCCTCTTAATACCACAAGCCCTTAGCCGTGGAAGCTACGGTCCTCACGAGGGCGAGTTCAGAGCGAATGGCAGCGACGGACTGAGCATTGTGAAGCGTGAGGGAGAGGTTTCAAGTGTCAAAGGGCTTGCGGTTTAGGCTGTAGGGCTCAAGGATGTGCAGCGTTTAGGTTTCAGGTGGAGGCTTGCAGGGCTTCCTAGGGTTTATGGATTTGAGGGCTCAGAGAAAACGCTTTGGAGCTAAGCTTCAGATGTAGATACTGTAGATACTTGAAATATTAAGCATGAAACTCACACTCACAGTGTAGAGCGCTACATGCCCTGGTTCTTCCAAATGCAAGACTAGAGTTCAGGGCTTTGGGGTATGATCAAGAATCCATGACGACCATCAGCCGTGCTAAAATCACGATCGCACAGCTATTCCAGGGTTTAGTGCTCAGGCCAACACCCCCCCCCCCCCGGGGTGATCCGAAAAGCTCTGCCTTCATCACCGCCTCACGGCTGCCGCCCCAGGTGTCGCAAAGGATCTGCACCAAAGCCTCGCGCTCTCCCGACGGCGTATCGTATTCGCGACGCAAAATGCACTTCTTTTTCGCAGGGTCAATATGATACGGATACGTTACCGAAGCCAGTCTAGAAATTGAGTACCAGGCGATGTTGTCAGTATCCAGCGCAGCAATCACCCAAGACATGTGTGTACATATGTGATTACACAGGTACATAGGTGGCTTTTTTTTTGAATTATGCACTTAAAGGGTTCAGTCGTTCATCTGCGGGCAACGAGATCCGAACATTGGACATCTGAACCTGAGCTGCCGGGCCTGCGCGGAGGGATTACATTACGGTTTGCTACACAAGGTGTCTGATGTCAGAATTTCGGACTTCAGTTTAGTATTAAGGTACAGGGCTCTGCACCTCACCTATCGCCGTAAATCCTAAACCCTAAATACTCAGGGCTTACCGTAGAAACGGCTTAGGATTTCGGATGCCGGGCTCTGTGTCCCAGAAAGCAGACAGGGCTCGGTGTGGGGTTCAGTTTCTGTTCGAACGGGGCCTTACACCGTTGAAAAAAAGAAGCATTTTTTGACGACACCACACCACTTGCACTGAAACCAATAGCTCTTCACCTCAGCCCCCTCAATCCTACACCTTGAAAAGGGCCCTTAACACATTCGAACCCTGATGCCCTTTGAACTGCTTACCGCCCGACCCACTCCCCCCCCACCCCGCCCGCCCCACCGAAGCTGATGCCTGCAAGCAAACATCCTCAGCCTCCTCCAAGACGTCGCCTGAACGAAAGGACCCAGTCTGGATCTCTGCGTGCTTCAGGTTTTGAGGGCTACTTTTACTCTTGGGCTTAGGGCTTGGATCTTAAAAAGGGTTTCAAGTTTAGGGTGTGGGCATGCCTTGGGCCTATGGCGTCGCTTATTGGAGCTTTGGGTGGTCGCCGGTCTTTCTTAAGCTCAGGGTGCGGGTCAGGCTTCGGCCCCAAACCCCAACCAACGACCATGAAAATTACACGATCCATAAAGCTACATGCCTGAGAACCCTGAAGCCGAAACACAATCAAGCGACCAGAACGGAAAACCCCAGCTGTAAAGCCCCATAGCCGCGGATCCTTACTGTCAAGACCACCACAGACGTAGAACCTGCCTTAACTATAGTTGGGGAGTTCTTAGAAGCAGTTGCATGAGATATGCTTCGTCCCATGATCCGCTAAGTAGGGTGTAGGGATGCAGAATCTGCAAGCCCTATCTTCCGAAAGTCCATCAATCCGCACAGCCTCAAAGGAGCTAGAGCCACAACAACCTTCTCGCTTAAGCCCGAAGTCCTGCAACAAGCCCCCTCAACAGTTCTTAAGTTGCGCGGCCCCAAGAATTTTTGCGATCCCTAGCCGATAGACCCTATACTCTAAATCCCAAGCCCTTAAGCCAGAATCCGAGGGCCCTCCCCGAAGCCTTTCTTCACCACGTTTTGTGGAAGAGGCGGTTGCTTCTTTGATCCACGAAGCCAGAGGGATAGCTGCTGCCGGAATACTGAGATGACACCTGCAGTTGACGCATCTTTCTGAACGCGGGCTTTGGGCGTCAGGGTTTTTTGGTCTTGGGCTGTGGGTTTTGGGTATATGGGATCCCAATTTGTGGGCTTATCATGTGTGGAGTTGTGGATACCTGGCAGTCTGGTAGGGTTCAAACTTTGGGGTAGACTTTAAGGATTCGGGTTGATGTACGGGTTTGGGGGTGGTCTCCAGAAAAGCTTGGGGTTTAGGTCTCAATCAGGCTAAAAGAACCCGAAGCCGGTCAGGGGCCCCGGCCATTGCTACTCCGAGCCCCTAAGCCCTAAACTCCCTACACCCCAAATCATAAAGCCTCTCTGAACTCCCTAAACCCTGAGCCCGGGCCTGCGATGGCGGTCTGCTGTGGGCTTTCCAACTTCCGCCGGGCGGCGTCACTCAACTTCGAGCCTCGGGCTCTGAGGTGCGATTTTCTCTTTTTCGGCTTTAGGAGCTTAAGGCTTCAGGGCGGGTTTATATACGGGCTTTAAGGGAACTTGGCGATCTCTCTTGTGTTTTTAGGTTTTGAGAACTTAAGGCTTTAGGGCTGTTGGGTGGGTTAGGGGCTTCAGGGGAACTTGTGGGAGAATGTATAGTAAAGGGTCCGAGTAGGGGTGTGAGATTGAGATTTCTGCAGCCGGAGAAGCTGATGTTGAGCAGACGCACCAAGTACTCCATCAGCAAGAGCTGTGAGGACATCTTGCTGCCAAGCACCTTCCTGGGTGTAGTTGTCTGGTCGCACATAGGTTTAAGTAAGTTCGGGGGAAACCTAAGCCCGAAACCACTAAAGTCTTCTGAGCTCTTCTACACGAAGGGAGTCTATGCCCCAACATATTTCAGTGCAATTCAGGGTGCGTCCCACAACTGTCAGGCTTCGGCCTTCAGCTTTAGCCCCGCCCTCTGGAATGGTTGGGTGCTTTGGGCCGGAACCCAAACCTCAGGCTTACAATGAGGGGTACCTTGTTTTGGGGCCCTTACAATAAGGATCCTACTATTTAGGGTACTATATTAGGGTCCCCTATTTTCGGAACTGTAACAAAGCCCCTGAACCGACAACTCTCAGGATCGACTGCAAATTCCACCCGTGCTGACTCTCGACAAACATTGGCGGGTGCCCTTCAACACAAACATACCCCAAACCTTCAAGAACTGAGTAGGCGAGTCGATGAACTTCCGGCTGCTTTGAGTGACCTGGAGTCTTTGTCAGCAGAAGGCTCGGTTATGCTGAGAGTTTAGTATTCGGGGTCTATGGTTTGAGCCTTTGGGCTGGGGTTTAGGTGACGGTGAGTGCAAAGTCTCATGCCCATCCGACTAAAAGCACTCAGGGAAAACACGACCTATTCAGTACATAGAGCCAAGATTCAGTGTTTGCAGTGCCTCCTCCATAATCTTCATGTTGCTCGTGCTGGGGAGCTGAATCACCTGCAAACAGCTGTTGTGCAACCATCTTATGACAACTCCACCGTTGGTTGCGTTGTTCAAACAATGGGCCCCCGAATCCTGGGCGCGTCCGAATGATGCCTCAGGGTATGGGGCTTGGGGATTGTAGTCCGTGTCGGCTTGGGGTTCAAGCTTGGGGGGTTATGGGTTAGGGGTGCGTCGGGGGTCGGCTGAGGTCTCGGATGCAAGCAAGCGCAGCTATGACGTGCTCCAAAAAAATCCGACCCCTTCGCTAGCAACTAAAACAAACCCCAAAACCTGCATAGGAGAACGTAGGGGAGCCTCAGAATGAGGGTACCCATCATTATCGTAGCAAGATCTCTACTACTTCCTGAAGGGAGCCCCTCCTGAATCGCGAGCCCTCATCGATGGGGCTTGCCAAATTGCCCAAAACCTTGCAATTGTTTAGGGTACCGCCTGATCTGCAACATCCATATTCCACTCTGTTTCGGGAGGTCCTCCGCATTAGCCTAACACATCGGGAGTTTCCCCAAAAAAAAGAGGGGTACCTAAGGGTTCCACTAAGGGGTTACTATAAGGGTACTATAAGGGCTATAAGGGCAAGTTACCACAACAAGGAAACCCTGGGTCCGACGCTCCGGAACGGGAGTCGGACTTGAACACACGAAATACACCTCCCGAAGCTCGGCCTTCTTAGCTTCTGCCGCGTCCGCAGGCGTCTCCTCGGAGATGGCTACTTCGGTCGATGCGGATTTCGGATCTTGGGATTGGGTCTTGGGATCGGGGTTCAGGATTTCGGATGTGGGTTTAGGCTTTTGGGTTGTGGGGACGGGGCGGGATTTTGATGTATCGGGGCCTCAAGAAAAGGCTTGGTATTCAAGGATAAACCTTCTGTCTCGTAGCCCGCTGGCCAACCACCTCCTCTCATAAAGGTTATAGGCTTAATTATCAGCCAAGGCGCTTTAAGAAAGGGTGTGTTCTAATCATAATCGAGACCTAATTGCACCCCGAACCGTAAACCCCTAAGCCCAGAAAACACTAAACCGTCGTCCAGGTTAAGCCCTAGCCCTAGCCCTAGGCTTCAAAGCTTTATGTGCCCTAAACCCAAACTCGCCCAAACCCTGAATCCCCCTTAGAGCCCCCCCTGCAGAACCCTTAGTTCCAGAAACCTCAATCGGTAACTTTCGAAGAACTCTTACAGTCTACGTAACCCAAACAACATCCCCTGGTCGCGTTCCAGAAACCATAATCGGAAGGTTAAGACATGTTAAGACGAACTCTTAAAGCCTATGTAACCCAAACCCTGAATCCCCCTTAAAGGACCCTGCAGGACCCTTACTTCTAGGAACCCTTACAGGAAACAATGTAACCCAAGGAAGATCCCTCGGTCGTCCTGGATGAGCTCTGGCTCCTCCTCGGGGGGATGAGGCTCCCGGCAGAAGGTTGGCAGCTGCCGCGCGTACAGCACCTGAGGCTTTTTCCAGAGAACCAGGTTCTGTGGAGTATTTGTCGGGTTCTAGAGGGTTTTCATGGAGTTCTATCATCATTGGTCTCTACCAGGTCTTCGAGTGTTGTGTACATGCAGTTTTGTCTGCATTTTCGGGTCTTGCGTTTAAAGTTTAGATAGCCAGGCACCTCTAAAGAACGAGGTTTTCATTCGGACACTAGTGTGATGACTATTACGTACTCCTTGTGCGGCAATAACCCCAGATAAGACCACTTCTGCGAGACCCAGGTGATAAACCCCCTTGATTGAACAGCTTCGCCCTAAGAAATTCAAGCCTAAAGTCCAAAGCAACTGCACAGGAGGCACCGCAACAAGAAGCTGCGCACGAAACTCATCTTCCTGTGTCCTTCCGCGATGTGGCGTGGATGGAGGGCGTTTCAGGGCTGCCAACTTTGCAGGATTTTGGCGTCGGAGGTATTCGGGCCTTTATCGGATGTTACCCGTGCTCATCTCCCCCAAACGTCTATACTCATGTTGACAACCATCGACATTCGTTAAACTGAACCGTGTATACCCTAAACTCTACAGCCTACCCCAATTGCAAGCCCTAAAGACGCTGAACTAGAGTGAACCAGAAAGCGCTAACTAAAGGAGCACTACTGTACCAGGTGCTCAAGCCTGTATACTCACAGTCCCGAAACTCCTACCGTAAAGCTCAAAACCCTCCCGCAGCGTCCTCAGCTGAGAAATGCCCTCCTCAGCTTCTCTTCAAAAAGTTTGCGCAACTGCGGTCTATGGTGTTTCAGGCCGAGGTTTACGGGGCTTCGGGTCGGAGTTTCGGGTTGGGCCTTTATTGGGGCTTACGGGATGCAGGGTTCTTGGTATCGGGCTGAGGGTCTACTTAAAGGTTCATGGGACTTAGTAACTATGGTTACAAACAAGGTAACTGTACTGAAAATTGGATATAACCCCAGTTAGGGTACGTACCAGGTCCCATGATCCTTTAAGTAAGGACTTAAGGCCGAGATGTAGCTTAGGAGCCGAAGCGACTGGGGGTGGTTAATGTTCGACTCTGACTCGTTCAGGTCTCGGGGTTCAGGATGCCGGCCATGCATGCGAGGAGTTTGCCGTTGATAGAAATATTGAGAGACAACGTGTAAACAACTGCTGCAGGAAGCTATGCCCCAAGCCCCTGGAAAGCAACGTCAAAACCGCAATGCAGCAACCATGAAGGTTGAAGCAGCAGAGATGTAAAGTTTTGGGAAGGTCGTCTTTGCTTTTGCCAGGAAACGTGCCCCTAAATCTTCTAACCGTAGACTACTCGGCTCGCGGTATTCGTTGGGATAACTCCTATACAAGCAAATGAACAAAAAGTCACAGACCTAAGAGTAAAGGGTCTCGAGCTCACATTTTGCATGCCAGCTTCGTAGCGGCGCAACGTGAAGGGCGTCGGGTAGAGGCGGATAAAGTTGTTGCAGCGCAATGACCTTTGAGTATGCCAGGGAATCTGGGGAAGAAACACGGAAGCACGCACAAGAACCATGACTGCCCGGCTTGAGGGTATCCGATATCAGGCGTGCCGGACTTCGATATCCTTATGGCCTTAGCGTCCTACTGTCCAGAATGCACGGGGTTAAGCTTCGGTGCCCACATGTCCGGAACATCCACCCCAGACTGCGCCAGCTATAAGATGCTCTCTGTTTCGGGACGTGTATTCACGTTTTAATTGCTTTCCATATGCAATGCTAAGAACAATGCAGAGACGTCGATGCCTGTAGGTCCCTCCACCACAGGGCTCCAGAAAAGTCTATGCTGCTTCTGCTGCTGCTCCTGCTGCTGCTCCTGCTGCTGCTGCTATCCTCCAACTTGCATAGAACGCAAAAAGCCGCTTCAGCTTGAACGTACTCAGACAAGAACCCTAAATAAAACCGACTGCCGTGGTAGATGGCGGGCATTGGGCTTCACGAGAACTTTTTCAGGCCCCATAGCCTTGAACCCTGAAGCCTCTGAAACTAAAGCTAGCCCGAGACCTGAAACACCCCAAACTCGAATCCCTTAACCTTTAAAGCCCGCAACCATCAAGCTGGACTCAAGGCAAGACTCCAAAATCCCCGAATCCAAAACCCCCAAGCCTGAACATACCTAAAGCCCCCAAAGCCCGAAGATGCGGACAACTTGACGAGGTGCTCTTGCAGCGTGTCGCCTAAGAGCTTCAGCTGTGTCTCGCCGAGCATGTCCAAAGCCACCTGCATTGCTTTCTGTTTTTGGGTCGGGGGGAGGATTTGGTTTGGAGCAACACCTACTTTTCTGCACGGCCTATTCGGCGTTACACGCCAGAAATCGTGGCGTCTACAGTCATGAGCCCACGTGAACGACTGGAGTCGGGCCGCACTGGCGAGACAGTTGAGTCTTTAGGGTTCGGGATTTAGTATTGAGGTTTTGGGTCTTCATTCGGGCTTTTTGTAGTGAGTTTGGGGTTCGGGATTTGGGGTGGGCCGTCTTGGGGTTTGGGTTTAGGCAAACCCAGCGGCACGCCATGCTCTGATAACGGCTGAGGCCCCTGGCCCCAGTAGAAAAAGCCGACCCTTTCAGTACAGGATTATACAACACCGGTACAGAATCACAAGTTTCCGGCTTAGCCACCAGAAAGTACTGTGACCCCACAAAGCCCGGAACTACAACCGTCAAGCGAGATAAATGCCCTAGAATCCACCAAAGCCCTGCAGGTTCAAAATATTTGATGAAAAAGACCGAACCCTGAGCTGTACCTGGCGCTTGTGGCTGAAGAAGCGTCGAGGAGGCCGGGGCCTGTATTTGGTTCGATTAAGGGTTTGGGGTATGGGGCATGGGGTGTAGTATGAACTCCTGTTTTCTTGCTGCCATTCATGATGGTGTTTCTGATTTCAAGCTTGTGTGCTCGTCTTTTGGGAGGGCGGGCGAGGGATTCGGAAATTGGTGAGATCAAGGCTGCCCTGCTACCGAGGCCTAGGATGTCGTTGTCAAGTTGTTGGGGCTTCTCCCTTCCCTTGAAGTCGTGCCGTTGAAAGTAGCTTGGAGGTTGTGGGAAACTGTGGAATGCCACAGGCCACAGCCCTTTCCCAGGCACTAACACCAACCTGCCGAAGCTCCAAGCGGCAATCAGCCCGAGAGCCCTCAAGCCTAAACCTCAAAACGCTTAGCCCACAACCAACAAAAGCTCCCTCGAACCTTTGGGGATTTAGAGTCTTCAGGGCTTAAGGGTTCAAAATGTAGGGATAGGATTGGGATTCAGAAATTCTGGATCTACGAGTAAGGGTTCAGGATTTGGGCTTCGTGCTGAGGGTATCTGATCTGATGAAGTACAACAATAACAGCTCCTTGACTAGAGGTGCGTAGACATGCAACATACAGCTCTAAATAGCTATCACGATCATAGCCCAGCAAGACACCCTATTCCACGTATCAGTGCCCTATATCAAGCACTACAACGCCCGTTGCAGCCCCTATATGGACCCTGTAGCACCCTTACTCTGTCTACTTAGGCCTTTGTGGTAAACCCGAAACTTCCGAGCGCAGCGCGGTGACGAGGCTCCGTCCTCCCCAGCTCCCTTAGCCAAGGAGCCAAAACAGATTTGCCTTACAAAAAGCCCTGTAAATACCATGACCATATTGATATAATGTGATAAAATATAGTATAGTATACTATCATAATAGAATACCATCATATTACGACAAGTTCCAGTAAGGGTGTGCTCTAAGGGATCCTTCAAAGATTCTCTTAAGGGTTTTCTAGGACTTGGAGCACTTACAAACAAGGCAACTTCATTTCTTTCTGTACACGCCGCTTGCAACACAACAGCGCTTTCTTTTGAGGGAGGAGTTCTCCAACACCCCCAAACACGAGATGGTAAACGCTCAGAGTAAAACTTAGTGAAACCCGATATTTTTGGACCCTGAAGGCTTGCAGGGAAGTACATAAGTCCTCGCCACATCCTCAACAAGCTTGCACTCCAAAGCGTCCTGAGTGCATAGTACAAGCCTAACCCGAAGTCTCTAAACCCTAAACTGCAAAGCTCCACTAAAGCTCCACAACTTCGAAGCACTAAGTTCCAAAACTCTAAACCACAGACACCTTACAGCCCTGAGCCCTGAACAACCCAAGCCTATAAGTAAGGACTGCTATACGGGTTCCTTTAAGAGCTTCTTGATACATGACCGTTTCTTTGTTGCGCCTCGCTCTCCTCGGTCTCAGGACGGCGAAGCGGATCCTCGTCAGGCAAGGGCTCAAACCAGCCACGCGCACAGCCGGAGTGTGACCTTATTATGCTACCCCACAAGGCGCAAGGTCAACGGTTGCTTACTTCAGTACTGCGAAGCAGCAGCAAGCGCTGCGCTTAGCCCTGAAGCGTAACCCCTAACCTAAACCCTTAACTCTAACCCAAGCGTTTCACAGCTCACAAAAGTAGTGCTGAGGGTCGCAAATCGTGAGAGTCTCAGACGGTTCGGAAAAAGCACAGTTGCTGCGCCGCCTGGCCCAACAATGGATAACCACGTAGGTATGGCAAGAATTACATAAACTCAAGTAGCAAGGATAAGGTTGCTCGTTCGGCTACTCAGACTGCCTGAAACTGGCATTTAATTTCCACAGAATTGGTGTGACGCACGGTGTGCTCTTTTGCGTTTCAGGCCTTAGCCCCAAACAGCAGGACGAGCCTGAACCCCGACCCTTCCGCGACACTCTCGCCTGCCGATGACCCAGAAGACTGCTACTCTTCGAAGGCATCGACTTCTGTAGCTTGTTCATGTACCTGACAAGTTCAATCTCCCGCATTTCAGAGCGGAAAGGGTTTTATAGGGAGGGTCTACAGATCTACAGCACTGAGGATTGAAGCTGATAACCCGGGTGGGGTGAAGCCCGAGACCGGGACTACACCCTAGACATCAGTCGGCCACCAGCAGGGTTGGGGAGGGGGTTTTGTTTAAACTGTTTAAACGCACCGATGTTTAAACGCTTTATGTTTAAACCCAGAGGACCCTCTGACGAGTCATGTTTAAACCGTTTAAACATGTTTAAACCAATTAAACTAAACATGAAGCGAAATGTTTAAACATACGTGTTTAAACGCATTCCTCTGACCAGCCATGTTCAAACAGGTTTAAACGAGGTTGAACCAAACACGAGGCTGAATGTTTACACCTTCGGGGCTAGGGCGAAGTTAGGTGCAGGCCTACCGTAGAATTAGGCTTTGAGGCTTTGTAGCCCCTGTGAGCGCGAAGCCGTCGACGACTGGACTCCTAGCCTTGGCCTTGAAACTGAAGGCCTAAACCTGAAAGCCCGCCCGCTAACACCCTTTGACCCTTTGGGACACTCAGGGAACTGTTTAAACACGGGCTTAAACAGATTCGGCATGTGCGACACTCAGGCAACTGTTTCAACATGTGTTTAAACATGCGTTTAAGTAGATTTGGCATGTGCGACACTCAGGGAACTGTTTAAACACGTGTTTAAACATGGGTTTCAACAGATTCGGCATGTGCGACACTCCGGGAACTGTTTAAACACGTGTTTAAACATGCGTTTAAACAGATTCGGCATGTGCGACACTCCGGGAACTGTTTAAACACGTGCTTAAACATGCGTTTAAACAGATTCGGAATGTGCGACACTCATGGAACTGTTTAAACACGTGCTTAAACATGCGTTTAAACAGAGTCGGCATGTGCGACACTCAGGGACGTGGTTAAGCACTGGTTAAAACAGATTCGGCATGTGCGACACACAGGGAAATGTTTAAACACGTGTTCAATCGCGGGATTGAACAGATTCAGCATGTGCGACACTCAGGGAACTGTCGGGAACTGTTTAAATATGCGTTTAAACATGCGTTTAAACAGATTCGGCATGTGCGACATTCAGGGAACTGTTTAAACACGTTTAAACACATTCGGCATGTGCGACACTCAGGGAACTGTCGGGTACTGTTTAAACATGCGTCTAAACAGATTCGGCATGTGCGACACTCAGGGAACTGTTTAAACACGTGTTTAAACACGGCTTTAAACACATTCGGCATGTGCGACACTCAGGAAACCGTTTAAACACGTGTTTAAACATGGGTTTAAACACATTCGGGATATGTGTCATGCTAAACATGCTTTTAAACGCCGCATTGGGACGTGTGACACTCCGCGAAATAGCACAAGTGTGTTTAAACATGTTTAAACGCCGTCCTGCGCATGTTTAAACCATGGTTTAAACATCTCAAGGCGACGACAATGTTTAAACAAATAAACAAACATCGACCCACCGGCTAAACATGTTTAAACGCGTTTAAGTTTAAACCGTTCAAACCTAAACGTGTTTAGTGCGACCCTGGCCACCAGAAACCCAGTACGTTGTGAAGTTGGGGCATAGGACACTTATGACCTTGAGCGTATCAAAGTTCGCCAAACTAAGGGCAAGTGTTCCACATTGCTTAAGACTCGCTGCGTGCTGGTCTGTGATTAACAGGGGAGACCCTGTAGCAAACAGAAGCGGGGACTTCATTATGGAACCACATTCCAGACGTTGAGGCCCCATAGTAAGCCAGGGCACAAGAATCGAGCTCTTAATCGAGCCGACGTCAGCGTGGAAGCATCCAACTTCCTTACGCCAATCCTGAGAGCAAAGCCAGCTTTCCCGAAGACGACCCTAAACAGGCCTTTTAATGCCATTTACTGCGGGGTCCATAGGGCTTGCAGCGCTGTATTGAAGTTGTTGTTTGAGGTTTGTGGTTGCGTTAAGGTTGCTTGTAGTATATCGTGTCTTGCATGGCTTCATGGGGCTCTAAAGCGATGTTTATAAGGGAGTTTCGTGTTGATGGGGCTGCTGGGCTGCTGTTTGAGCGGTCCGTGCAAACCGATCCGACCAGGCTGGCTCTATGCCAGTTGAGTTTGGGCAATCAGAGCTATGGACAGCCAGACGTACCGATGGGCAGGTGAAATAGCAGCGCTACTCTACACTCCAAACCCAGGACCGAACCCGCAGCCCTGAGGCCCAAACCCTCAGGCAGAAGGGTTTACGACCGGAAAATTGAAAACCCAGCAAATTTCCCTAGACCTCAAGACCGAGGATCAGGTTAAAGGCATCCGTAAGCAAGGTGGACTTGATCTGCTTGTCCAGGGGCGAGTCTGCCTGTCTCTGATTATATGCTCGGCATTACAACCACGATGGCTTGCTTATCATCACTCTTCTAGTTGCAAACCTATAAGCCCTAAAGCGGGCTGTGCACCTCCCATTCCGTCGCCCCCTAAACAGCCTGAGACTTTCATCAGGGAGCTGCACTAGAGAGTCCACCAAGCCGGCCTGCATGCTTGGGCTCAGGTTCACCTGGCTGAGAATGTTCGGATCGGGTCCAAAGGACATTGAGGGTGTAGGGACATAACGCCTACAGCTTCTCGGCTTTAGGAGTTTGGGGTGTGCAGGGTTTGTAGAAGTTTATGGTCTTAGCATTTTGGTGTTCGTGGTCTAGATTGAAGTTAGCCTTTAGGGTGTCGCTCTAATTAGTAACCGTCGCGGACACAAGCCAGGATTATCTTTCTTCATTTCGTAGGTCTCTGTATCCGTACATGTTCCTAGTGCGGCATCTCGGGGTTACTGTTGCGGGTCGCGATCTCGGGAAGGAGAGCTGGAATATTTAGAGAGCCAATTTCTCCGAACTTGCACGGTGCGGCCTCCAGCAACCACGGCTTCAGGCTCCTTGGGTGCAAGGTCTAAAATTCCCGGTGTAGGCTTAAGTCTATCCAAGACATCCCCAGACTTTGGGCTGCTTTGAGTTATCTTGCTCCCCCAAGGACCTGAGGATAGACATGGATCGCCACGTGGAAAAATCGTACCGTATGTTCATAGTTCCCAAAACAGCAAAGCTTTGTGCAACATGATCTAGCCAGAACCAGAGAAAAAACGAGAATAAGATCAAACACTCCTTGAACTCCCCAGAACGGCATCTTTAGAACCATGAAGAACAAGGCGCTCATCCACCAACACATCAAAACCGTAAAGCTCGAAGCAGCTGTGCTCGTGGATGCAAGCCTGGACATTGATAGTCTTACAAGGCAGCGGTAGTCCCTCAAGCGCAGGGCCCCGTTTCGAAACCCAACCGAAACCTATAGGTGGGCCAGACTGGGCCCTAAACCCAAACTGGCACCTGAAATGCTCAACTGACCCTCGTGCTCAAGCAGTGCGCCGGCAATGCACTTCTTCTTTGTATCTTTCTATATTCAATGTCCCTCATCCCATCTGTCTTAGTTTCGCGTAGTCGCATATCCAATCATACGAACGGTGGGTGTAGCCAACGAGTATGTAACTGTTCAGCATTTTCTCCTAGTGCGATTGAAACCCAGTCATGTGATAAGAAAAAATTAACATCGAATCCAAACTGAGTTACAGGAAACATATGAAGCAGAAAGAATTGTGATGCAAGTATCTGGAAACCCCGAAGCAGTGGAAACAACAAAGTCCATTATTGATGTCAGCTCTGCCGCCTCCACTGTGTCAAATGCAAAAGGTGCAGACTAGTGGTGCACCACGCAAGTAAAGAGCCAATAGAGCTAGGATGAGCTAGGTAGTGCCATATAACCACAACTTTGAACATGTGTTTTTCATACAGGTGAAAAGCCAAAAACAACTACTGGTACAACCTGCACAACAGATCTCACACACATACAAGAACACCGAGGTGATATTGGAGCATCTAACAGATGGGGATGTGCCATCTTTCGCAGGACAATTCTCTAACCGTGCTGGCTCATACAACCTAAACACAACAAGCAACATCGAACAACAGTCCTAAACGAACAACCAGGGACAATCTCAATTCAAAGATCCCGGATTTGTTTATCCTTCACATTGCCAAGATTTTCATGTTCAACAGCCTCTAGGTTTAAAAATGCGAACATTAAGCCGTCTATGGCCCATTATCCGGTTGCGAAAATTCAGCCCGGGTTGCTCATTTATTGTTGGGCTTTGTAAAAACTTAAGAATTTCGGTCGCTGTTGTCCTGTGTGCATTGATCTTGCGGTATGTAAAACCAGTAGCTTTTTTAGATTAAACATCGCTTAGCACATATTGCCTGCATTTGTCTTGTATGCCCCTCGTTATCTCCTGGTTCGATGACTTGATATGAACCTGTGATAGTTGAAGCTGTAATGGATCATAAGAGCTCATGATTCGCGGTCCCGTGCATGGATTGTGGTGGTGGTGATGGTGAGACCTCACCAGTTTCTGCTTGATAAACTTTACAGCCACAGATATCACTAAAATTTTAGGCTGGTCATTTGACATTGTTTTTTGCTGATGAGTTTACTGTTGATATCTGGGCCTGCCTTCACGCATTCCGAACTTGTCGCCGCACTGCTTCGAACCCAGAGGTGACTCATGGGTCTTTTTGCAGTCTCCAATGCCGTTTGTGATTCGACATCCTTTGTGACAGTGACGATTACCCAGGGAGGTCTTTCAACTTGTAGCTTGTTGCCCTCTCCGGTTTTCGCATTCATTATCAGTGACTGTGCACTTCCTAATCTTTTGTCACGCCTTGCTCAGTCACAACGAGGAAGAACTCAAACCTGTCAGCAATAGGAATGCAGCATTCCACTAGAAGAACAAATAGTTTGATTTTACGGCGAACATCAATCAAACAAGTGCAAGGAGCGACAAATCGCTGAAGGAGTCGTAAACGACAATGTATTATGACTGTTTGTATTGGCCAGTGATCTTGCGGATGAGCAGCCAGGAGAGACCTTACAACACCTGTGATAGGAGGACTAGCATCACTAGTTGTGAATGGCTCAGGTGATTCTGTCATGATCAGAGAAGACCTTTAGCATAGTGTTTTTTGAGATCTCCACGGGGAAAGCAAGAACAGGTAAAATAAGAACAACAACAACTGCTGAGGAACATCAATAAGACTCATCTGAAACAAACTCTACTGACTCTAATCAGGACGAAGAATCTTCTCAGTAAGCCCATGGTTTATCCAAGCAAAACCGGCATCGGAAAATACAAACTACGAGAAGCATGTCAAAATGAACGCGGCCGAAATTACAGCAGTCTGGATAGTCAATGGTGTCGCACGGAGGCGTTCTTCTAGCAAGAAGAAGCACTCAAAGCATCCTAAGGAACATACAGAGATACCGTGACTTGGCAGCAAAGCAGCTGTCATAATTAGTGCCTACCCTTGTGTTTGCCATTTCGAGAAGTAGGCGTGTCGGGTCCAACCCTGCGCAGGAGGAAAAATTGGAATACTTGAAGTCGGCAATCTTCTCCGCCAACAGGAACTCGCATCCAAAAAGTGGAATCACATCCTGAGTCTCGCGAATCCTACTAGTAACTGGCCAAAACGTCTTTCGCCGAAGCCCGCTGCCTCGTGTGGCTTACGAATTTCGAGCGAGGAACCATTGAAGAATAATTGGTGCTGGGGGGTGTCAGCACACCAGCCGCTTGACACATTCTCCGTGGCGAATTGCTGCTCAGGACTCAGGTTGTGGCGGCTGCAGGCCATGATCAAAAGGCCGAGTTACGACCGTACTCAAAGGCAAGAGTAAGTTGAGGCAGTCACGATCTCATATGTCTCACTTGAGCTTCCGAGAAACAAATCACCCTCACCGCGATGCGTCGATACCACGAACGATGGCGCGCCATCTGCACACGTACTATCTCTTGCGTCCTGCATGTTGAGGTGGCATCCAACAATCCAACATCCTATGCAATTACTCATCTTCGCTTCAATGTCCATCCGTCACGAAGTGCCCAAAAATGGAATACGAGGGGTCGTTTTAAAGTCAGTCAGGATTCACAAGATTGCAATAGCACACGTATGGGTCGGAAAAACAAGTGAGATGAATAAAACCTTTTGTACAGTTGAAACATCCGTCAGGGACTCCGAATCTAGCCTTGCTGAAGTTCGCGATTCTGGTTAAGTCGCACCATATCCAATCGGCGGGTTCCATGTGTTGCTTCTCCCGCCGACTGTGAACAAACCGTCTATGCTTCTTAAGTGTGCAGTGGTAAAGCACCGTTTGCTGAATGGCACTTTGCGCAGTAGTCCAGTCCAAACTCAACTACATTGCAGACAAGATGCAACTAGTGAGAGTGACTGCTTCAATGCTAAAACCGCGATCAGACAACACAATGCCAAAATGAACGTGGCAAGCTAAATTTGCAAACGACAGCAAAAACATGACTATGCACAATATCGTAAAATTAACATCGAATCCAAACTGAGTTACAGGAAACATATGAAGCAGAAAGAATTGTGATGCAAGTATCTGGAAACCCCGAAGCAGTGGAAACAACAAAGTCCATTATTGATGTCAGCTCTGCCGCCTCCACTGTGTCAAATGCAAAAGGTGCAGACTAGTGGTGCACCACGCAAGTAAAGAGCCAATAGAGCTAGGATGAGCTAGGTAGTGCCATATAACCACAACTTTGAACATGTGTTTTTCATACAGGTGAAAAGCCAAAAACAACTACTGGTACAACCTGCACAACAGATCTCACACACATACAAGAACACCGAGGTGATATTGGAGCATCTAGCAGATGGGGATGTGCCATCTTTCGCAGGACAATTCTCTAACCGTGCTGGCTCATACAACCTAAACACAACAAGCAACATCGAACAACAGTCCTAAACGAACAACCAGGGACAATCTCAATTCAAAGATCCCGGATTTGTTTATCCTTCACATTGCCAAGATTTTCATGTTCAACAGCCTCTAGGTTTAAAAATGCGAACATTAAGCCGTCCATGGCCCATTATCCGGTTGCGAAAATTCAGCCCGGGTTGCTCATTTATTGTTGGGCTTTGTAAAAACTTAAGAATTTCGGTCGCTGTTGTCCTGTGTGCATTGATCTTGCGGTATGTAAAACCAGTAGCTTTTTTAGATTAAACATCGCTTAGCACATATTGCCTGCATTTGTCTTGTATGCCCCTCGTTATCTCCTGGTTCGATGACTTGATATGAACCTGTGATAGTTGAAGCTGTAATGGATCATAAGAGCTCATGATTCGCGGTCCCGTGCATGGATTGTGGTGGTGGTGATGGTGAGACCTCACCAGTTTCTGCTTGATAAACTTTACAACCACAGATATCACTAAAATTTTAGGCTGGTCATTTGACATTGTTTTTTGCTGATGAGTTTACTGTTGATATCTGGGCCTGCCTTCACGCATTCCGAACTTGTCGCCGCACTGCTTCGAACCCAGAGGTGACTCATGGGTCTTTTTGCAGTCTCCAATGCCGTTTGTGATTCGACATCCTTTGTGACAGTGACGATTACCCAGGGAGGTCTTTCAACTTGTAGCTTGTTGCCCTCTCCGGTTTTCGTATTCATTATCAGTGACTGTGCACTTCCTAATCTTTTGTCACGCCTTGCTCAGTCACAACGAGGAAGAACTCAAACCTGTCAGCAATAGGAATGCAGCATTCCACTAGAAGAACAAATAGTTTGATTTTACGGCGAACATCAATCAAACAAGTGCAAGGAGCGACAAATCGCTGAAGGAGTCGTAAACGACAATGTATTATGACTGTTTGTATTGGCCAGTGATCTTGCGGATGAGCAGCCAGGAGAGACCTTACAACACCTGTGATAGGAGGACTAGCATCACTAGTTGTGAATGGCTCAGGTGATTCTGTCATGATCAGAGAAGACCTTTAGCATAGTGTTTTTTGAGATCTCCACGGGGAAAGCAAGAACAGGTAAAATAAGAACAACAACAACTGCTGAGGAACATCAATAAGACTCATCTGAAACAAACTCTACTGACTCTAATCAGGACGAAGAATCTTCTCAGTAAGCCCATGGTTTATCCAAGCAAAACCGGCATCGGAAAATACAAACTACGAGAAGCATGTCAAAATGAACGCGGCCGAAATTACAGCAGTCTGGATAGTCAGTGGTGTCGCACGGAGGCGTTCTTCTAGCAAGAAGAAGCACTCAAAGCATCCTAAGGAACATACAGAGATACCGTGACTTGGCAGCAAAGCAGCTGTCATAATTAGTGCCTACCCTTGTGTTTGCCATTTCGAGAAGTAGGCGTGTCGGGTCCAACCCTGCGCAGGAGGAAAAATTGGAATACTTGAAGTCGGCAATCTTCTCCGCCAACAGGAACTCGCATCCAAAAAGTGGAATCACATCCTGAGTCTCGCGAATCCTACTAGTAACTGGCCAAAACGTCTTTCGCCGAAGCCCGCTGCCTCGTGTGGCTTACGAATTTCGAGCGAGGAACCATTGAAGAATAATTGGTGCTGGGGGGTGTCAGCACACCAGCCGCTTGACACATTCTCCGTGGCGAATTGCTGCTCAGGACTCAGGTTGTGGCGGCTGCAGGCCATGATCAAAAGGCCGAGTTACGACCGTACTCAAAGGCAAGAGTAAGTTGAGGCAGTCACGATCTCATATGTCTCACTTGAGCTTCCGAGAAACAAATCACCCTCACCGCGATGCGTCGATACCACGAACGATGGCGCACCATCTGCACACGTACTATCTCTTGCGTCCTGCATGTTGAGGTGGCATCCAACAATCCAACATCCTATGCAATTACTCATCTTCGCTTCAATGTCCATCCGTCACGAAGTGCCCAAAAATGGAATACGAGGGGTCGTTTTAAAGTCAGTCAGGATTCACAAGATTGCAATAGCACACGTATGGGTCGGAAAAACAAGTGAGATGAATAAAACCTTTTGTACAGTTGAAACATCCGTCAGGGACTCCGAATCTAGCCTTGCTGAAGTTCGCGATTCTGGTTAAGTCGCACCATATCCAATCGGCGGGTTCCATGTGTTGCTTCTCCCGCCGACTGTGAACAGACCGTCTGTGCTTCTTAAGTGTGCAGTGGTAAAGCACCGTTTGCTGAATGGCACTTTGCGCAGTAGTCCAGTCCAAACTCAACTACATTGCAGACAAGATGCAACTAGTGAGAGTGACTGCTTCAATGCTAAAACCGCGATCAGACAACACAATGCCAAAATGAACGTGGCAAGCTAAATTTGCAAACGACAGCAAAAACATGACTATGCACAATATCGTGTGAGTTACTAGCTCAGAACAAGCTATCAACACGATGTCATTGTTCAAAGGGCAAGAGGTACAAGAGCAGACCGTGCGAAATGAGCTGACACAGTCATGATGCTCACAATCCAATTTTCGGATTCACGCAAGCACTCCCCAGATACGACTCCGTCACAAGGCATGCCGTCAGAACCGTGACGCGACATGCTACAGAAATGCGTTCTTTGCTCACATGCTTCCCCAGGGAACATGCCACACGAAACAAAGATGAGGTAGAACAATGCAGCCAGCAGGACGAGGCACAGACAGGTCCGCAAGAACACCATTGCAAGAGACAAGCCTCGTTTCATTAGCAACTCAAGGGTAAGTGTATTTCAACTCTTGCCCTGGCTGGTCTTCCCGGTACTTATTCCTTTATACCCAAATTTCTGAAACTTGGCTGGCTTGTGTGTTGGATTGCTGCGATGTTGCTGGTTTCTAGAGTCTATTCTAGAGTTCAGTTAGTGCTTCCGAGAACATGCAGCTGCTAATTTTGGAAAAGACTGCGTGGAAATGCAGGTGGACTGTCTGTGTCATTGACAGGCGTAGAAATTTTAGGACACAGCATTGTTCTCGTTCGCGAATCACCCAACATATGTCTGGAGGTAGCAGTCGACCGGCTTGCAGTGCTCAGTCTGGTAGGCGTCGAAGTCGCCATCCTCATGCAGGATATATGACAAGTAATGGTTGTTATCATTAGCTTCAGGACAAGCAAGGCACTGCAAAATTGCTTTCCTGTGCCATCTGTGAATTGGTGCGCGGCTTCCAGAAGCCCTCACGCTGCGAGTGGCTATGCCCTTGAGACTGCGCTTACAGCAAGCCTCAATATGGCAAGAGACGACAGAACCTTGCAAGAGCTTCAAGTCCAGCGAGAGGCCTCAGAGGTTGTTGAGTTTTGCGTACGAGCTGAAAGCTGATGGGGGGGTGCACGAGGTGATACGAATCGAAACACTGCATGCTGCTGTCTCAGTGTCCTTGACACTTCTGGCATTCTTGCAAGGTTGCTCGAATGTTTGTCGGGATGAGCCCACCCAAAACTGTTTATATGGTGCCAGTAGATTCAGCCCAGCCGGTTGTTCTGGCTGAAACGCTCACGCAAAGCCTAGCTCTGCATGGTAATTCGTGCAGCCTCACCGTCAGGCAGAGCTTCCGAATTCATCAGGTGTGAGGTGAGTTCTGTCACGCGTGGCAACAGGGAGCTAGACCCACTGCGAAGTTGATCTTCCAGTTCGTCCATGCGTGTGCGCATGTCGGCAAGTGCTCTCTCTGCTCCTGGTCCTGCTGCAGGGAACATTCCTTGGGCATCCTGCGCTTGCGTTGCCAACTCTTCAGCCGTGATTTCCAGGACTTCCAACGCATCTGCGACAGCAGCCACCTTTGCGTCGACTGTGCTGAGCTCTGTGATTGCTCGTAAATGATCTGCCATCTGTTGAAAGGCTGCTTGTGTTGTCTCATGCTCAGATAGCTCAGCGTGCCAAAGGCTTGCGAGCAAGCTCTGGAGAGCACGTCTCCCGACAGCACCTACCAGGAACAGAGCCAAACCTATGGTGCTTGCAATCACGGAGATTTGCAAAGCCGGCACTGCTACCAGTATCGTAGCTGCCATTGTAGCCAATCCGTTTGCGATTGCGCTCAAGCCCGGTGCCACCATTAAACCACCAAAAGCTGGAACGGCTGAATGTCTGACGAGTTCTGCCGAATTAGTAGCGCAGCCAACTCCGATCCCGAGGAAGCCAAGGAGACAGGCACCACCTGCTATGCCCCCGAGGGCCAAGACCAGCTGGCCCAGCCCGCTGAAAATACCTGCCAAAACAAGCGCCCCGAGCCAGGTCACACAACAGCCGCCAGCAATGGCAACCACAGCTTTGCCTGCACTTCCTTCGATCTCGTCCATCCATTCGAAAATTCCGTTCGCCCAGGTCATGCGGGTCGACAAATTGCGACCGTCCATCTCAGCCTGCTGGGCGCCTTGCTGAAACTCTTTCTCCAACTCCTTGGCTTTCTGCACAAGCTCTTCAAGCAACGGCCTGAGCCTGTTCAGCTTTTCAGAGAATCGACGTGCATTTCCTTGGATGACAGCAGCAATCTGATGGACCGAAGCGAAATCGTTCCTTTCCCGGCTCTCTGTGATGCGCTGCAAATGACCAGAAATTGTGCTGGCTTCACGGTGCAACGCCGCGAGGTCTGCCGTCCTCAATTCCCGAACGAGGCTCCGCGCCTGCGTGGCTGCCTCCGAATGCATCATAGTCGCGTACTTCTCCAAGCACTGCTTGAACTTCTGAACATTCTTTGAGATACGGTAAAAGGAAGAACTCGTTTCATGTGCCAGCAGTCCAAGGATCACATCCTGCACCCACGTGGGCTTGTTCCGAAGTTCGTTTCGCAGGAGCCCGTACGTTGTTTCATCATGCTGTTGCAACCTTCGCCGAACCCTTGCGAGATACTCCTGCAGTTGCGGGTCGCTGGACAAGTCTGACAGCGACTGGGTTGCATTCACTGGAACCATGCCGTCACTCATGATCGTCTCACCTGCCATGGCGGAAGGGCAAGGTGACAAGGTGCAAATTTCGCGGCCAGTCAACTGGCCAAGATTGTCTAGCAGCTAGCTGCGTAGAGCCTGTAGAACGGCGTGGGAGAAAAAACTGCTCCAGGCTCAAAGACTGCACCATGCGGCTGCATGCCCCTAAAAACACCCTCAGCCCGACGGCTGCAACCGGTCCTGCAGTTGAGTGTCGTGGTCATGACCGCCACATAGTGGTCGCTTCCAATTCTGTGCGCTTTGTCCAACCCCAGCAGCACCTGCCCGGCATCAGTCACGAGTCGCAACGCACTGAACTATGCGACTGACCGCCACGAAATGAGAGTGTCCCAACATTCTATCCTCATGTGCATATGCCTCTGCCTCTGACCTTTTCCAGATGGTGGGAGCATCTCCATTACTTCACCCTTCCAAATAAACTGCATCAAAGGCATGCCCTCCACGTCACTGGAGGGGTGGCACCTCGCGGCGTATCCGGCATCGTGGTTATCGTCGATGTAGCCAGGTGTAGCCAGTCAGGAAAAGCACATTCAGCCATCCCTTTGTGTGCCCACATTGCAGCTCTGCAAAGAAGTATTCAGGTATTCCTGGCTGCGTAGCTGCTCCTATTGTTATTATATATAGCGACATCAAGGTACCAGCGAAGGCATGCAACCAGTGAGTCGATTGCAACTGCCTGGCCCCTGGTGATACTATGCCACCCACGATGGGCTAACTGCTTTAGATTGTAGGGTCACCGGGTCAATGCATCCCTCACACCTTACAAACAGAAACAAAGCAAGTCTTGACCGATGGTGTTGGGTTCAGGACACCCCAGATTTGCACTCCTGCAATATTCTGGATAAGAAGCCCGCAACCCCAAACCCTATAAGCCTTCAAACCCTAATACCCCTTGCCCATACCTCAACTCAGAAGCCTGAACGATTAGGCTTGGCGTTTGGCAATCACTTTTCTCGGGAACCCTCAGGACAATGACTACCAAGTGTTCCAGCCTATTTATTCAATCCAATAAACACCTATCAACCCCTGACAAACCACCTATGATCGTGTTGCTAGCTGTTGAATCCTCCAGTATTCCGCCCGGCTTCGCGCCAGAAAGACAGCAAGAGTTTTCGAGGCTTTGTGACTTTACTGCTGGAGTGCATTGCAGCTTTGGGGCGATGGGGTGTGAAAGTGTTAAGGCTCGGGCTTTCGCGCTGTAATATCAGGAGTCAGAAAGCTGGAAGAACATCAATATCCGCCTGCCCTTAAGGTGCTGGAAAGGGGATCTCTGCACTGACCAACCTGAAACCACGTTCCCTTGTTCAGGGCTTTGCTGCAGAGAGCTTACGGCTTCAATTCTTCAGGCATTTAGGATTTAGGGTTTGCTGTTATGGCTCAGCCGGATTTGCGATTCAGCTCTGGGGCATCAGGGTTGCTCTGGAGCTTTTCCTACGCATATGTGTGTGTATATATATATATATATATATATATATATATATATATATATTTATATACCTGCATCCCTTCATCCATTCATCCATCCATCCATCCATCCACCCAGCCGGCCAGCCAGCCATCCATCCCTCCATCCATGCATCCATCAATGCATCCATCCATGCATCACTCCCTCCATCCATCCATCCATCCACCCACCCAGCCAGCCAGCAAGCCATCCATCCATCTATCCATCCATTCATGCATCCCATCCATGCATCCACGCATCCATCCATGCATCAATCCATCCATCCATGCATCCATCCATGCATGCATGCATCCATCCATCCATCTATCCATCTATCCATCCATCTCCATCCATATCCTCCCTCCATTTATTCTCCCTCCCTCCCTCCCTCCGTCCATCCATCCCTCCATCCTCCCTCCCTCCATCCCGTCATGCCTCCCTCCATCCATCCATCCATCGATGGATGATCGATGTATCGATCCTTCGATCGATCTACAACCCTACCTATCTACCTATCTTTCTATCCATCAACCACTATCTATCTACCCCTCTATCCATAGAGCTGTATACTGTATGGGTATGCACATGGATACGCACGCACACAAAGCAAGTACGAAAACCAAGATTAACAAGATTACGCTGACAACCAAGCAATCGTGCACGGTATTCCCTTCACCTTGCACCTTCCCTGCACTCTACCTTACACCCTCGAAAAATGTACGTTCTAGACACCAGCCCACTTGGGAATCCCCCATGTGCAGCCTCCTTCGTGGCCGCGCTGATGACCGGCCTGGGCACTAATAGTGTTGGCGTAGCACGCTCGTGGCTGAAGGGTTCTGCGTGGAGCTTTAGAGCTACATATGGTGCAACCTGCTCTTCGCAGGCTCTGCTCAAGGTAAGTTTGGTCTGCAAACTACAGGGACCCCGCGGAAGCCTGGTATATGGTACCAGGGCTTAGCACGCGCAAGCCTAAGTCCCAAAGCCTTACTCCCCCAGAAACAACATCCCCCAGTTTGTATAAGAATCAGTATAGGAATTTCAGAATCTAGTGGATAGGCCCCCAAGAGGTCGGATCCTCCAAAAAGCCAATCCCCTCGACAAAAAGAAACCATCCAAATTTGAGAAACAACCCTTAGCCCTATATAACCCCTCGTTGAAAAAGGAGAACTCCACATATGCTTGACACAAAGTCGCTCCACACCCAGGAGCGTCTTCACAATGAGGTCCATAATTCTACTCCACATCTCCTTCCTTGCTTCAATCTGGGGGTTTGGGGTTTCAGGGGTAGGGCCTCAGGGATTCAGGCTGTTTCGGGCTGTTCTTCTGGTGTAGGCTCCTTTAGGTTTGAGGTCGTCGGGTATAGGACTGCTGCTCTCTGGGCGGTTTGGGGAAGGCCTGGAGTGTCACGGGTTTGCAGGGCCAAGGATAGGTCCAGGTCTACAGGGGCGTTTGGTTTAAGGTTTAGGAGTCCTGGGGCTGTGGTAAAGGGGCGTGTGTGTGCGTAGACCTCGACCGTACCTGCGCAGACACTCGATGCACCCTTCGGTTGCAGCAAGCTCGTACCACAATTCAAGAGCTGAGCATAGACTACTGTACCTCGCGCCAAAAAACACTCAAAGCGACTCTGAACGGCCACCAAAGCAATCAGGTATCCTGGTTCCAAGTCCGATTTTACAAAATACTTCGATTGAGATGAACAGCTTGAAAAATGTACGTAGCTGGAACTAGAATCAAGGCTATTCCTTGATCTTAAACCATGGACCGCAATCTTCGAAGGTCCAATCTAAACCTCTGAGTGGCGTCCACTACGAGAACAGCTAGCAGAAGCCTTCGACAGGGAGCCGCCGCTTATGCAGGATTAAGTACAGGGTTTACCTGCAATCCCAAAACCTTCTGGTTAAAGGGTTCTATATCTGGCTTCTCTACAGTAACGTGTCCTTCGGTATTGTTCCCTGCAGAAAAACAAAGTTTTGGCTCAGTTTGCGTTCTCAAGGTAGGTCTCCGTTAAAAGGAATCACAGTTCAGAAATTAGATTTGGCTTCGGGTTACGGAGCTTAAGTTCAGTGCTGGGTTTCGAGCATCTGGTTGAGGTTTTGCAGCTCCAGATCAAGGCTTAGCGCTTAGGGCCAAATTAGAGGTTCAGGTTGCGAAGTTTAGCTTTAGGGACTACATGGGGTCAGCTCAGAGTCTGGGTGAAGCCCACCCCCGGCATCTTAAAGTCGTGCCAAGCTTCACATCCACACCAACGCAGCGCAAGTGCCGGTTCAGGGCCGACAGGCTCCATTTGTGGCCTTAAGTGTCGTACTGGGAGAAGGCATCAAATTAAGGTTTATCATGTGAACTCGAACAACCTAAACCTTAGACCCAAGCCTGTGAAGATAAATGCGAACATGGGTGCAGGCTAGCATTTGTGCCTTCGAATTAACTACAGCATTTCCGATTTCGCGCTTGCGGCCTGCGATACCACGCGTAGGGCTTGGGCTATTGGGGACCCCGACCGTTTTCGATCTCAGACCTCGTAAACCTCCTGTAGACCATGGCTAGGTTTGAAGCATGAGACGCCGAATCGAAAGGGTGTGGATGGTGTCTACTGCTCGGCAGCCAGGCGTGTGAGAATGTACTTCGGGTTTCAAGTCTATCTGTTTCAGGTCCGGGCTGCAGGGGTTTACGTATAGGCCCGTTGGTACACGGCTTCAAAAAAGACAGGTTTACGTGTAGAGTGTATGCTCATGGGTTAAGGACTGTAAGCTTTAAAATGACAGGCTTTAGGAATCTTTCGTGAAGGTCCAGCCTGGCAGGACATAGGTATTAGCAAAAGGCTGAAGGCTTGAGGGTATGACTAAAGGAAACTTCAGGTTTCGGGAATTCGGGCGCTTTCGGAGTCTCCGCCATGGCGCCGTAGTTGTCCGCCTGGACCCGTTGGTTCTCTTGGAAGTTCTCGGCGCCCTGGGCAGGCTTCCAAAATCTCCTTTGTGGCTTTTGGTTTTGGAGTGAGTCGAGTTTTGGGTTCCAAAAACCCGACGCACCAGGCTTTTCAGGTTCGGGTTTAGGCTAAACTGCAACACCCTGAAACCTTGAGGATCTTCGAATCCTCATGATTCTGTTTAAACCAACAAGAGCCGCTACATCGCTACGCCACAAGCAAACCCTAAGATCCAGCCTAAGCCCTGAAGCCGCGACATCCCAAACCCGGAAGTCCATGTGCTTCCTGTGAAACTTGAAGTTCTGGCATTCTGAACTTGGTAGCTGCATGTTGCCTTTCGGGCCTCTGGATGTCGTCGTTTTTTCCTGGTTCGTCTTCCCCATCCCAGAACCTAAACCGGAAACCCTAAACAAAACCTTTCAAAATTGCCGGAGCCTTGTTGATGGAGTAGTTGGTGAGGTGTCGGTACACATCTGCCAGATGCTCCTGCCGAACAACAAAAAGTCCGTCAGCATGCACATCCGTGAATGCATCATAAAAGCGATTGCAACTATAGAAACAAGACACCTTGCATGTGCTGCACTGATCAATATCAAGCTTGCACTCTGGTTGGCTTCTGCATCCAACTCCGGCTCGAGGCCATGTCTGCCACACGTGCCCTCGGAGGAAGGTGAAATCAAGTCGCCCCAAAGGCGCTGCAGCAAACAACAACTGTACAATGGAAAGGCCTCCAAAATTGCTTCGTCTATACTTGGATACAAAATACTTATCTGAAGGACAGGCCTGGGAGCTGGCATGACTCATGACATCTGCGCTTGGACTCTGCGCGGGTTCGTGCCGTGGTATCCCTGATGCGTCCGCGCTTCGGTGGTGGACTGCACGACGGAGGCTGGATCGGCGAGCGTGGTCGCAGGGATGTTCAGGAAGGATCGGCTCACTAGCACCACTTCCTCATCTTCGTCCGCGAAGGCGATGTTCCGGGAGCTTCTCGGGACGACGCCAAGGCTGCGGGGGATCTGCCGGAGCACTCGCCTCACCTCTTCCTCCAGGTTTTCGGCAACAAAAATGTCACAGGGCCTCAGCCGCATGGTGGACAGATGGCCACGGATCGCGCGGAAGCACCAGGGCTCCATGAAGACCTTAGCGCCAGAAGGCTGCAAACACCAGTCCAAGCCCTCCTCCTGAAGGGCCTGCCGATATGGATGCAAGGCCGCGGACTCTTGAAGAACCTCGTTCAGCTTCTCATGGAAATTGCGCACGGTCATATGCACCACCCGTGTGAACCTGACAGAAGCCTGTGACTGCAAGTCTCTGCCATGCCAGCCGGAACCAATGTTGTGCTCAATCCAGGAGGCCTCCTGCTCCGCTACGATGGCTGAGCTCTCCTCTTCCGAGATTTCAGCTGGAGGCTCCTCATGATGCACTGGCTGCAGCACCTCCTGCGCTGGATCGGGGGTGTGTGGGACAAGCCGAACCCTAAAGCCTGGCGGCACGCCGCACTGACCACAGCGATTGTTCCCGAAGCAAACCAGCTCGCCACTCGCCTTCACGGCACAGGTGTGATATGCTCCGGCAGCCACGGTAACCACCGGACCGAGGTCGGGAGGCACATCGGAGCGACCATGCCCGTAAGGTCCGAAGCAAACCAGCTCACCACTCGCCTTCACGGCACAGGTGTGATAGAGTCCGGCCCCCACGGCCACCATCGGACCGAGGTCGGGAGGCACATCGGAGCGACCATGCCCGTAAGGTCCGAAGCAAACCAGCTCACCACTCGCCTTCACGGCACAGGTGTGATTGCTTCCAGCAGCCACGGCCACCACCGGACCGAGGTCGGGAGGCACATCGCATTGACAATAGTCATTGCCTCCGAAGCAAACCAGCTCACCACTCGCCTTCACGGCACAGGTGTGATTGAGTCCGGCAGCGACTGCCACAACCGAACCAAGGTCGGGAGGCACATCGCACTGACCATCATCGTTGTCTCCGAAGCAAACCAGCTCGCCACTGGCCTTCACGGCACAGGTGTGATGAAATCCAGCAGCCACGGCCACCACCGGACCGAGGTCGGGAGGCACATCGCACTGACCAAATTCATTGTCTCCGAAGCAAACCAGCTCGCCACTCGCCTTCACGACACAGGCGTGCTCATACCGACCAGCCACGGCCACGACCGGACCCAGGTCTGGGGGCAATCCATCTATGCGATCGCCGAAGCAGGCAAGCTGTCCGTTCTCTCGGATTGCGAATGTTGAGAATTTACTTGCTGAGCAGCTGCCACTGTGGAAGATCCGTATTCCCATAAACGGCAGTGCGAGCGGAGCCCAGGTCGTCTCCTGTAGGTGGTGAACGAGCAGACGTAGGTTGTAGATGTCCTGTGGCGTGACGTAAATGTTTTCGTGCCCCAACAAACGTAGAGCCATGTTCCCACACAGATGTCTAGCCACTTGCTGCACGAAGCTTGAGAAGGAAACGAGGGGCAATAACGATCCACGAGAAAGAGCATGATGCTTGCTCTTTCCACGTAGACTGATGAAAGTGCACCCCACGAGCTTCGGTTTGATGCGCATACATCCCAGGGCCTCAACCGTCAACCTGAACAGCGCAAAAACGAAAGCAACCATCTGCATGGAGCTGCAGATGCAGGCAGTCCTCATCCGTACCTCAATACGAGGTGGTGGTTTAGAGCATGAGCTTTAAGTCTAAGTCTGCAGAAGCCCAACCGGCAAGGGCTGCCCTAAACTTAATGCGGGGTGATCGGCGGGTTAACGAATTTGTTTGGAACTCCATGAGAAAGATAGCTCACCTGCACAACAGCGAGGATATCATTCCTGCAAAGTCCGTTTGAACCACAGAGTCTGGGCTTGGCCGCAGGCTTTACCAAACAGGATGTTGACATTGGCCTTTCAACAAGACTAAATCAATCTAAGCTTTTGGATTCATTACGCTGTATGTGGTCGCAGTATCATGCAGAATTAAAGCTCCTCCTCTCTTTTAGGCCTTTAGGTAGAAGCTTGTCGCCCAGCCTTGGAAGAGTAGTTCCCTATTACATACCGGATCCCCAGTTCCTCATCCAAAAACGCTCGGTGCCGGAACAAAGTCGGAAGTCCTGGGCCATGACCATTAGACCTAACCCCCCAATCCACATGCCCAAATCTAAACGCTAAGACCCAACATAAAGCCCACCACTTGAATCGAAGCCCCTGCAAAGCTATACCCCAAATTCAACCCCGACCGAAGCAGCAAGCAAGCCGCTGTACGGCTTGGAGGCGAAACGCGTGAGTCCTGGCAACATCGGGACCGCCGGATGCAGGGTTTCGGGATTTAGTTTCTGGTACGAGGGTTCAGGGTTTAGGGCTCCTTCAGTTCTAAGCCCCAAATGTAAAGATGTAGCGGTTTGACAAAAAAACCTCTCAACCTACCAGGATCCACGAATTTAAGCGACGCCGCATGGGTGGGAAGACTTAGTGTTTGTCTGTCTGCCTACATGTCTGTCTGTTTGTTTGATTCTTTGTGTGCTTGCTTGTTTGTTTGCAGGTATGTATGCATACATGTGTGCATGCATGTAGTACTTTTATGCATGCATCTGCACATAGTAGGCATGCCTCCCTGCCCTGCCCTACCCGCAGGGGCAGCGCAAGACATGGAAGGTAGGTAGGCCGGCAGGCGTAGGTATGGTGTACTGCTGTAGATATGCACCTGCCTGTTTATGTGTGCCTGTGTTTGTATATGTATCGATGCATGTATGTATGCAGGTGTAACCCTGATCTGATCCCCGAAGACTCTTACTCCGTCATAACAACTTGGTTAATGACAACCGAACCCTGAACTGTGAATCCTACAAACCAAAAGCCCTCATCCCTAACGCTCGAGACCCCCCAACTCCCGCACACCCTTTCTGGACCCTGCTTGAAACCTCAAGAGTAGAAGCCTAATTTAGTATAAACCTCGAACTGGCCTTCCCGGTAGATGTAGGCCCGAAGTGGGCTGAAGGAGGTCACGAGCACGTAGATGCGCAGGTCGAACTTGAGACCTCCCCGGCTGGATCTCGGGTTTCAGACGCTGTGTTGGAACCAAAAGATGTGGGTAAGGGTTTATCGTAGCTTTCTTGAAAGCTAGTGCTCGCGGTTCAGGGTTTCTGAAGGTGGAAGGCGTCCTTCTATTTCATGAAAAAGTTCCGGGTAATTAGGCAGAGGCTGTGCGGCTGGGGAGTTTACTACTTGCCAGGGAGCTTGTTAATTATTGAGGGCTTACGAATCCGGGGGCCGTTTGGCCGTTTCTTGGTTCGCCTTCTGTCCAGGGTTCAGACTCAGGTTTACGACTCAAGTCAGCTTGGGTTCAGGGTTTACGGTTTAGAGCGCACACGAGCTCTGGCATTGGCGCACAGCAAAGCGTTCACAGCTCATAAAGATTAGCTCTGGGGTTCACTTCACGCCGAATTATATCTCCGCAGACCCTGCTCCTGAAGCCCATGTAGAACCCACATCTCAGACTGCAACCTTTTTTCCTGTAAACTTCAACTTCAAAGCAGGCTTCAGGCCCATTCTCTTCGAAACCCTGAACCTTGATCTCCAAGTCTAAGTTTCTACTCTTCCGAGTTCAGGCTTTGCTCTAGGGGCGGTCTCCGGAACCGAAACTGTGGGGTGGACTGGAGCTCTGGACCATGAAGTGAGGGTAGAGCATAGCCTAACTATACGGGTATCATGAGGGGCTCCTACTCTGCTAGCTACTGTAGTCGGGCCTCTCTATTTATCGGGCCTCTTTGTTTGTTACGGGAGTTCTGAGTCTCAGGGTTAAGGGTTCATAGGCTTGCCTTGGATCAACAACGGCTTCTCGACGTACCTGGACACCACGACCTGAGAAAGGAGTATCTTTCGAGTTTAGTGTTTAGGAGAAGACCTCTAAACATTGGTTCATTCAATGCTCGCCCTATAAGGGTCTTCCGTCTGGTGCACGTATATAAGCTTATTTATGTACTATCTGGATGTCTGGACCGCGGATACGGTCTGAACGTATAACCTTTGTGTTCTGCTCGCTTCGGTGGTCCTATAACTGCACAATCCTGCATTCGCGAGCTCTCAAACACGCAATGTGCGCACACAAGGACGTACTGGGCTCAGGCTTTTGGGTGTAGAGTGTGGCTTAGCAGGATGTGCTGGACTCTATTTCTCAACTCATGAGTATACGTACTTTGGGCTGTTGAGGTGAAGGTCTCGGGTTCAGGAATTCGGGGTCTAGTCATCCTAAACCTATAAGAGGCCATGAAGCCAACGAGCCCTGTCCGTGCCAAGAAACTCGAATCTCCGAACTCGAACTGAAATCCAAACTCCTCTAAGCGCTTCTCCAAGCAAAAGGCTAGGTCCCAAACCACTACACCCTGAACCACACTGCTCTCAACATTTCGAGGATTTCTTCTTGCTGTCTCCGAATGTTCGCCATAGTTCCGAAAACCGAAAACCATACCTAATCAACCAGACCCAGAAGCCCAAAACAAAAACATCCGTTTTCTGCCCAAACTTCACACCCTGAACCCTAGACAATGCAGCAAGTAAACTGCTTGGCCCCAAACCATCAGCCCTCAAGCCCCAAACCCCACAGAAAATCCTCAGGCAGCAGCCGACTCTTTTGTTGGAAGTTCGACGAGGTTTCGGAGGAGGAAGATTCCCCTTCCTGCAAGTTTTGCTTTTGTGCCTGACTGTTCGAAGGTTAGACCAGGCGGGAGTTTGGGGTTTTGACAGCACCAAGGCATTTCTCGTTTGTGGTTAAACAGCAACATGCATATGCAAAGAATGCCAAGCTCAAAGTTGTTTATAGGTTGTGTATACCTCAATGTATTTGCACCGTTTATAAAATTTGGGTTTTCACACTCGGCCTAGCTATAACCCCGGCCCTAAAAACCCTGCGAGATGCGAAAACCGTAGGAAGTAACTTGAACAGAGATCGGAGTGCCCTCCAGACACTGGGAGGATCATTTGTGCTAGGAGTTCGGGGCTTTCTAGAAGCCTGAATGATTTGAGGACGGCTTTGGGTGCTACTGTGACAGAAGTAAATAGACACTCCAATACAATCTCATCAACTCTGCATCTGAACTCAAAGCCCCTAGGCTACATCCCATGACTTTCGGCGTAGATAGCACTGGATGCCTCAACTGAAATCCTGCCTCTATTCGCACTTGGAGGGTATCTTATGGGCTTGCATGGAACCTCAAGCGCGATTCCTTCGCCTTCTCATTGGCAGTAGAGGCCTAATTATAGGGATTGAAGGCTTTCTCTATGTAGATTCACTGCTACTCTCCATTGGAGGTCCTCCTTCTGCACGCCTTGCTTCCTCACCGTGGGGCCCTCACCATAAAACTTGGTGAAGCAAAGGCGAAACTATAGTGGTGTGTATCATGTAGGGTTTCTATCACCGAACCCGAAATTCCTAATCGAAACCCTACTTCACTGAACCATCCTAAACTGCCGTGTACCCTTCGTAGAACCTTTATGGCAACCTGTTGGGCTTAAGATGGCAACCTGCAGGGCTTATGGCAACCTGTTGGGCTTAAGGCAGCCCTTGTAATTCTTTTGTAACAGCCCCCTGTCCTTGCGATGAGGCCGAGGGCTTGACAATCCACAGCTGCTCGCCGCGGGTCTTCCTTGAAGGTATCGGATTTTCCAGCTTTTCGGGCCTTGTCGATAGGCTCTTACATACGGGCCTGAGTGGCCTTGGGTTTAGGGTGTTGGGGTCTGCAGGGCACAGAAGAGAGCGCCACTGATTCTCCACTGAAACCTTCGGGTTCATGCAGATAGCCCAGCAGCACTGAGGGCATATAGCGTAGAGTGTAGAGTAGAGATCTCCTGAAAGTGGTTTCGGGTGTACTGCTTTATTGACCGGTACTGGGCTCTCTGGGCACCCTGCCCTACATGTGAAAGCAGTGCTCCAGGGTTGTCCAGATATGGACTAATTATGGTCCGCCTGGCAAAGTAGCCACCAGAAAAATCAAACCATGCGAGCCCAGGAATAACAAACAGATTCGTTAGACGCCCTGGGACAGGGCACACCACAATCCCGCAAACCATGCTCATTGAGCTCTACACTCTACACCTTCTAATGTAAGCTTAAGCGGTCCAGAAACCCCAGGGGCCCACCCGAAAAAGTCGGAAAACTCCGAAGACCCCTCAATACCCAATGGCCAATCCCAGACGGCCTTTCCACACACGCCAGCCCAAGAATCTGTAGAATAGACAGTCCAGGTACCCAACTAGTAGCGAATGCTGGAAAGAACGCATAAGGGCCCCTAAAACCAAAACTCTGAACCTCATGAATGTTTATCCCTGGAAAACCCTGTAGGATCCTAAACCCTAAACTCTGAAAGCCCAAAACCCTGGAAACCATGCAGGACATGGCTCAGATAGCGCTGTTTGAAGGCCCGCAACTGCTGCGGCAGAACAAACGTCTCGGGGACGAAGTCAAAGGAGGCGCCGCCTGAAGTGGTAGGGTCATCTAATTACGAGGGTCACTGGGTTTAGGGTCTCTTATTGTGTCTTAAGATTGAGTCGGGCTTGGGGTTCCGGGGCAAGGTGTAGGGTTTGAAGGGTTATCGCAAAGCACGGTAGGCGGAGGGTTTGGGGTTATGGGTGCTGGGTCTTAGGGTTCTGGGATCAGGGTTCGAGGGCTCACACTTCAACAGTCGAAGTTGACTCTGCTGCAATGGCTTCAAACAGTACCAGAAGGAAGCATACAACTCGTCGAAACCCCCCAAGACCTCAATCTGAACCGTAAATCTAACGGCCACCGGCATGGCCTCCCATCATCTTCGACATTCGCTGAAAGTTGTCCCAGAGCCGATCCTTCCTGTCGCGGGGATATCTCCGATTGGTTGAAAAATCCCTTTCTGCATTCGCATAGCAGCATAGCAACGTGCTGGTTCCATTTCCAGGGGAGTCTGAACCCGAGTTTTCAGCATTCAGACCCTGAACCCCCATGTACACCCTTAAGGGAAGCAAGAGGCAAAGTTTCACAAGTTCTCAAAGCCGGAGCCATCAAGCAGAAACCCTCTCGCCAGGGGTTTCACAGTTCAGGGGTCAGGAGAACTCTGGGAAAGCAGGAAGCTTTGGATTAGGTCGAGGGATTGTTCGTGGTTCACTCAGACTGCAACACTTTCAGACAGAAACGCTCTTCCAAAATCCATCTAATAAGTGTACAAATCGATTGCTTAACGCGCTGGGTCACATGCCCATATAGTTGGTACTGAAACAACTGCCTAGAACAGCCTCTGTTCCCCCGAAACCCCGTTAGCTCTGGACACGAAGCCCAGACCTCGACTCCTGAACCGCAAACCCTCAACCTACTGCTAACCCTAGCGCCCAACCCCGAAACTCCAAAATCCAAACAAACAAACTCCCCAGCTAAGTCCTCGTCAGCTCCGTTGATTGAGGGAAATGATTTACCCGCCTCGAAGCACCAGCACGTCTCCGGCAAACCACAGAGATTTCGTAACCCCCAAAACCTCGACCTGAAACCTAAAATCTGCGCCCGGTACCTACGACCGCCAGACTCACACCCCAAACCCCCTAAACCTTGCCATGGTTAGATCTGAGGTTGAGGGTCGTGAGCTCGAGGAGTTCGGGGTTCGGTGGCGAGGGGTTGATCGTTTTGGGGCACGTTGTGTGGGAACGAAGAGGTTGTGGGTTTAGCATTTTGGGGCTTAGAGGGTTTCGCGTTTTGTGGCACATCGAGCTTGAAGTTTTTCGGGCCTTGTGCGTAGCTGTAGGGTTGAAGCTTTGAAGGCTTAGGGTTCCAGGGGCTTTGGGTTTCGAGGGCCGCGGTATCTTAAGGTTTGCTCTCTGTGCACCAAGCCCAGACCATTTAAGCTCAAACCTGTTCGAGCAAAGCCCCTAACTTACTTACACGGTTTTAGGGATTATAGGGTTTAGGAATCCTGACTCCCAGATTGCAGACTCTGATCCTGAGTTGTCACGGCGCTGAACCGTACAACTCTAATCCCAAATCCCGAATCGGAATCCCGAATCGGACTGCAAGGCTCTCTAGATTTTCAATCCCGTACCAGCCCACCAACCTCGCAGGCCCCCGAAACTTCTCCCTAATTGCTGAACCCTGAGCCTAGAGGCACTGAAAAACCCGACCCGATATCTCAAACCCTGGCCCCAGACCCAAGCTCTAAAACCCTGCACCCTGAAACGGTCAGGAAGTTGTCTGGTGAGTCGCTGATACTCGTGCATCAACTTGTGCACGTTCTCGCGCATCCGGGGTCCGGTCCAGCTAATGAGCCAGTCCTGCCCAGAACAGGGAACCCAAACTTGTGAGGAGTATCCCCAAGCCCTAGACCCTAATCCTTCAAAAGTCCGCTGCAGGTTCTGTACCTTTTTGTGCACTTTTGGGTCCTCTAGGTCAAAGGATGCACGGACCCTAAGCCTTTCTTGTTTTGAGGAGGCAGCTATACGACTCTAAATTTTCAGCGGATCTTAACGAATTAAGGGGAACTTTTCTGTTCTGGCCCTGTAAGGCAGGGTCCCTACTTTGGGGATAGTAGAAGAGCCCTGACTTGGGCTCTCAGGGTATTGCACATAATGAAGTTCACCGCGCCAAGAGTACATGCAGCACTCGTATGTGGCCAAGCCCACTGCCCGTATAAAGTGCTGGCGGAACTGAGCTCTGCTACCTCCTACCTTGCGTACCGTCCATGGATGCCGGGCGAGTCGCGTCATTGTCGCGTGCAGAACACATCCACTGCTACCCCGGTATAATGTAGCACCTGCACTGTTCGATGGTTCTTAAAAAGCAGACGAGACCCTCCCCCCCCCCTCCGAGAAAAATCGAGTACACAGTATTAACACAATCATGATACAGTAATATTTTGCTCTAGCTAGCCACCAAGATGCCATGCTTCAGGAGTCAAAACATGACCGCAATGAAAAGCAGAACCGCAGGCACTCTTGCGTCCTCCCCTTTGGTCGGCCGGAAACCTTGGGCTCGGGGTTGTGTTTCTGGGATGGCCTAGCATTGGGCACGGTTTGCAGGCTCTAGAAAGGTGTCACAACATGCAACAAGAAGGCATCAACTGAGCAAAATCTCGGGGTGCTGCCCCTTCCAAGATGACCGACCGTTTATTGCTTCTATATTCGAGCCCGGCCGCCCCCCTGTCGCGAAGCCCTGAAATTTCTACACCATAACATACCATAGCTATGTTCAATAGGGAACCCCAAAACATATAGTGTCACAGACTATTCCGACCCCTGTTGCAGTTTGGGTTTAGGTTTGGGGTTCATGCAAGCCCAGGCACCGTTGTAGAGAAACGTATCTCGCACCAGCGGAGCATGAATGCGGTCAATGCGGAAAGCCGGGGGCAAGCCACGCCCATCCGCCCTCAGGTGCTGCTTTGTTAGGGGTAAAGCTAAGTTCAGGCACTCTCAGCATGTTGGTTTCAAATCATTATAGACTATAGAGATTACATAACTGAGCTGAAAAGCCCGGATACCGGCAAATCGAAAGCAACAAATTCCTTTACACCGACCCTTGTAGGGTTTAGCGCACTGTGTCATGTAAGCCCTGAGCCGGAGTCTAAGGGTCTATGTTGATGGTCACGACCGCAGAGGGCCACCGAGCTGTCGTCGATGGGCTGGTTGGTAAATATATTCAGTTTTCAACGTTTAGGGCTTGGGGGATTTGCCTGCGCAAATGTCTCCGCCATGATGCATAGTACCAGTTGGTACTACTGCTGCTGTTCCACACTGCGTGAACTTATTGGCCAGTAGGGGCACACCGACCCGAACAATAAAGGAGCCTAGCGTGTAGTGCACCGGATGTAGAACTCGTTTAGGTTGGGGATAGTCCAGTGTTTTGCGGTAGCCATCAAGGAATATCAGCATCGTGATTATCCCGCCTCTTCCCGTGACTGCTCCTTTCGATCACCACCCTGTAGTTCCAAGTATTGCTGCTACTTGGGCCGTCCCCCATTCAAAAACGCCGGAGCATCAGCAAGAGTAGCGAACAGTGGTTCTCAGGCTTTTCACTTATGACATTCCATCATGATACCCCAACATCGTTTGTTGGTTAATTGCCAAAAACCCTTTGCTTCTCGCAGTCGGAGCTTAAGGCTTGGAAAGCTTGGGACACCCGTATCCGTCTGCCAGTGGATCAAGAAATATCAAGAATGTCAAAGACATCTCATAGCCTAAAACCCAAACAGAAGACCAGGATCCTGAATGAAGCACCGAGTACACGAAGGAGCAACTCGCGAAAGCCCTGACCCGCCAGTCCCAAGCCTCAACCACCCGCCTGCCTGATCCTGAAAGCTAATGTAGGAACCTGATTAAGGAACCTTGGGTCTGTACTAGGGTCCCTTATATGAGTCCTACAATTTGGGATTATAGGCCCAGGGTTCCTGAATCAGGTTCCTACATTACACCCAACCTCAAACTCTCGATCCCAACGGCGTGGCGCAAGAATGGTGAGCCCAAACCCTAACAGTCTTGAAAGTCCCGCTCGTCAGCTACCCTGTTTCCTGTTTCCGACTCTGCATTATTGCACGACATTCGGAACGTGAAGGCTTCTTTGTGAAGTACCTTGGGAGCGAGTCTCGGTCTATCATGCTTTGATTATGCAGGGACGTCAGGGGATACGATGAGCATTTACACTTTACTCAGACCTCTGAGTGACCTGAACCTTTGAACCCCAGAAACCATAAAGCTCTAAACCCTAAATCCCTGAATCCCCAAAACCCTGTAAAGGCCCTAGGAGGCCCTGAACCCTCATTCCCTGAATCCCTAAACCCCTCAGGGGCCCGAAAGCCCTGCAAAACCCCAGAGCTCCGAATCTTCAGCTGCGAGGCATATACCGCGCTATCGAGCAGAATTTGGACCCTGGCTGGACCTGCTCTGCGTTGGGACTTGGGGTTTTGGGGAGTTTTTTCGGGGTTTTGGGCGTTTGAGGTTTTGGGCTTCTAGGGTTTTCGGGTCTTTAGAATTTGAAGGTTTTAGGGTTCACGCCTTTATGGTTTTCCAGCTGAGGGATTGGGATTTTTGGGTTTAGAGTTGAGGGTTTCGGGTCTTAGGGTCAGGGCCTCCGTGGCGTTCTACGGCTTCGGAGTTTGGGCATTAAGCTTTTGGTGTCGTGTGGGGCCTGGCGTGCCCTGTCCCTCCAAAACCCACATCGTAAACCCTGAATTCTGACACTGCAAAATGGCACAGCCACACCCGGATGCATGGTGGGCTCTTGTTGATCATTGCGTATCTGGAGGTCTTCCCACTGCATGGTGCTGTTCGCCATACGTACTGCCTTGGAGCAACTTGCTTCTGAAGAAACCTCCTCTATACTCTATTCTTCACACGCACTTGATGAGTGATTCCAGCAGGCATCTGAGACTTCACATCGTTGCCATATGTTGCCATGCTAGCTGGATATGTGCATGCATTCGAAGGTCAAGGAATCTAGGCTGGCAGGTTAAGCGAGTTAAACGGGTCTAGAACGGTTCTACGACCTACCCAACAAGCCTTGGACTCATTAACATCCCTTGAAGAACCGGAACCTTTTAAGAACCTCAGATACCCGTAACACCGGAGCTTCTGAGGCCATGTGCCGGCGCGAGGTCTATGAAGGGAACCTCTGCCCACCTGCAAGACAGTGGGATCTAGGAGTTAGGGCTATACCTGTAGCCGAAAAGACCTATCTTTTTTGGGGTGCCGAATATGGCTTCTATAAACAATTCCCTTTATGAGGTAAGTCTTTTGAGCTACAGGTAGGGTTTGTGGTTGAAGGCTTAGGGGCTTAGGGTCTGGGGCTTAGGGTCTGACTGCGGCTTAGGGTTCGGGTGGGTGAGTGGGCAGGAATCTAAGCCTTGAGTGCTTTGTCTAAGGCGATTCGGTCGTTCAGAGTTTGGTGGTCTGGCAAGTTTGCAGACTCTTTCTTACACTTGGGAATACAAAAGGTATCCTCAAATTAAGGTCTTGAGCCAGGTAAGATGGCTCTAATCCACAGGGACAAGACATGAACACTTCTCGCTAATCTGTTACCGTCCCCACTTTTGGCTTGACCTTGACTTAACCCCCAAGGTAGACCGCTGATCGACTATGCACCCTTTTCTCTGCGGGCCTTCATGTTCCGACCGCTCTTACCATGAAAATGAATGGTGTTATCGATAGTGGAGTTTGCCTTCTCCCGGACCTTGAAGCCTAATCCCTAAACTGACCATGCAACAGCGCCAGGTCTTTCTTTATCCAGACTTTAACTCTAAATCCCAAAGATAGAAGCCAACACACAGGCTGAAAGAACGATTTTGAGAGCGGAAGCAACATTTGCTTGGGCTTTCGGTGGTTCGAGGGATGTTCGTGCCAGATTCCGAGCTTTGAGAAGAATCAGGCGCTGCTCACTTCGGCGGTGCAGACCTCAGCCTTTCGGCACCCGGAAATGAGTCCACGCCGACCTCACAAGACCTTCAATCTTCAATGCAGCCGCGATGTGCAAAAGCAAAGTCGGCCCCCAAACTCAAGTCAAGAACACTCGGTGTGCACATTTCACCAAATGACAGGAAATGGTTTCGGGGTTAAGGTGACCTTCTGTGTACATTTGGGCACTTGGCGTACTGCACTGCGGTGAACCCAGCACTTTCTGGCCCGAGGCCCTAGTGGCTTCTGGTATGGTCTTTCACTGTTTGGGGATCTGCGCTGCTCGTGGCAGGTGAAGGCTAATTACAACACAACCCATCCCGACCTATTCCAGCCCAAAACCCTAAGCCCATCGGCTTACATGCCGGGTGCAGTCTTAAGGGGCGGCTAGGATTTGGCATTAGGGTCAGGGCCTAGGTGCAAGCATGCAGGATTTAGGTTGTCCTTCAAGCCCTAAACCATGCAACAACGAAACACCCAACCGTATACCCCGCCTTACTACACCCTAAACCCTGAACCCCAAACCCTTAACCCTCAACCCTCACTTTTTGACTTCAGGAGCCTTTCGCCCAAAGCCGTCTTCACGATGAGCAGCAGCTGCTCGGTACTGGGTGATCGGCCCTCCGACGGCGCCTCCTCGACTGTTTGCGGGTTGAGTGTGTAAGGATTCTAAGCTTCAGGGTTTTCGGGCTAAGGGCTTTGGGTTTAAGGGCTTTCGAGTTCGGGGGTTGAGAGGTTCAAGGTTTGGGGTCCAGGTCGGTTGGGATTTTTATGGCTGGGGGATTAAGGGTTAAACGCTCAGGGTGTAGAGTTTGAAGATATATGACAGAATACAGAAAGCGCATGATCTGCCGTATATCCCGAGCATGGCAACCAACCCGACCTCTCGAACTCGCGTTCAACTCCGGATTGGGGGCTTGGGCTTTAGATGCTGGAGTGGCAGGCAGGCAGGCAGGCAGGCAGGCATGCCCAGGGCGGTTCGATGTATATCGTAAGCCCACTTCCGTCCCGCGGACTGCGCAAGGACCCGTTGATTGTTGCCCTCAACCCAAAAATGCCCTGCGTAGACCTGATATTGAACAGGAGGCGGGGTCAAACCCGAAACCCTGAAATCCGAAACCCTACAAGCCCTACACCCTGCATCTCTCAACATCGAGCAGCCTCATCCGAGTCAGCTGTCTGCTCGCCACTCTCACTGCCCTGGGGGCTTCGGGCTGTGTGAGTCTTAGGATTTGGCCCATAGTCTCCATTGTAGCTCTTTTTTGGGGGTTTACCAGTTTTATGGTTAGGACCCTATAATGGGGATTTTGTTTAACCAAAAGAAGGAACTACAATGGAGACTAGGGCAGGGGGAGCAAAGAAAGCCCGCGAAACCTGGGAGTTCAGGCATCGGAATTCGGAGTTTACGTCTTGAGCTGGGGCCCTGGAGCTAAGGGTTGCTGGGATTCGAGGTCTACAGGTTTGAGGCTCAAGGTAAAAGACCTATACCGATCGCACGGCTTTTAGGATTTCAGGCTTTACGCCGTAGGCTTTAGGGTTCAGGGCTTAGGATTCAGGGCTGTGACTTTCATTCTCAAGTCAAGGCGTGAAGGTCTGTAGACAGTCAAGACTCTGCAACTCCCCAGAACCTCAGCCAAAACTTTGTCATGATATCCCCTGCATAGTCTCATACTAACATGGTTTAACACGTTTCAAATTCAAACCGGCATGCAGTGTAAGGTTCGAAAGGCGTTAAACGCAGAATCCAAACACCCCACCAGAGACCAAATCCAAAACCACGAGGCCAAACTCGCGAATCCTCAAGTCTTTCTTAAGGATAGGGGTGCTTCCCAAAGAGGGCCTTCTGGCACTTGCGGGGAGTATTGGGAAACATACGAAATCATTCCAAATCATTCAATAGCCAGCCAGCAACAATAAACATGCAGGAAATACGAAAAATACATGATCATTCGGAAACATTCAGAAACATTCATGATAATACACAAAACATCAATAAAATTCAAAAAACACATAAAACTACAAAAAAATACAAATATCAGCCCCCCGTCATTCAAAAAAATCACAAATCTGGTTTGAATTAAAAACGAACTTTATCGTATGATTTCGAGGGTTTGTATATGTTTCTGAGTGTTTTTTGTATTTCATCGTATGGGTATCCAACTACCAGAAGTACCGTTTTGAGAAAGCCCCTTAACCCTATAAATGATCAAGCCCCCGAAACCAAAAGCAAAGGAACAGCAAGTCCAAAGCCCAAAATTCCGATCATTCCAAACTCCCCAACAATCAAACTCCTTGAATTGCCCAAACTCCGTAAACCGGAGGCCTCCCCATCGGAGTCGTAACCTGGAATTTGCTCCCAGCAACTTTGGAGCATCTCCTCGCGCGTGCTCCGGGGTATTTACGGGCTGTTGCGTCTCAGATGGGTCGTTCGACATTTCTTGGAATAGGATCTTTGCGACTTTTTGGGAAGGATGGGGCGTTTAGGGTTTTGTGGAAGAGCTCTCACTTCGTTGTGACGGTGGCTTGTGCTGTGGCTCTAGCTTTGAGGCTTGAGCAGGATGAATCATGATTCTCAAAGCAGGCTTGTAAAGATCGTCAGCTTTCGAGAAGTCACATAACACGTTGCTTTTGGAGTGTGAAAACAGCTAGCTGCCGCGCCGCATGGTCACGAACCCTTGAGCCTACCCAGAGCCCAAAGCTCTTCAGGGTATGAGCCCAAAACCGTTGATGCCGACTTCGTTGGAAGGCGAAAGGGATGGACCTGACTACGGTGCAGTTGCTGCTCCTAGTGCTGTTGGCCAGAGAGAGAGTTTGGTCAATGGTGGGGGTGCTTCAATGGTTGGCGTGCCTGCAGAGAGTGCTGTGATCAGTGAGGGACATGCTTTGGGCGAGAGAGGAGGACAGCTTGATCCTGTGGGAGCGGATGAACCTCCAGTTCCTGCAAGGGCTGAATCCCTGACTCGTGCCAATGATGAGCTTCCTGTTCAGAATATGGCACAGCTCACTGCTGTAGGCCCAACGCCCACGACTACGAATGCTCTTGGTCCTCTTGCTCAGCCTGCTAATCCTGCCCCTCTGCCTCCTATGGGATCGGCAAGTACTGTGGAGCAGGTTACCCAGCAGGTCCTAGTGGGTGGCATGAATGTCTCTCCGCCAGAAGAGCTGCCGGGAACTCCCGAAGGACGAGCTTCTCAACAAGGTGGGATGTGGCTGTTTCGATTGGGGGAGTTCGTTCAGCGAAGGGTGAACCAAGCTGGCGCGATCGTGACGCCTCTCTTGGAGAACCGGCAGAGAGCAGAGGATCCTCCACAGCCTTCTTCTTTAACTCCGCCCGGCAGTTGGACGGCGGCCTCACCAAGGCCTCGTTTGTTTTCGGCTTCGGCAGAGCAGCAGATGGCACAGTGGGTTCGTAGGGCACCTCTTCTTTATGGCTCTCCTCCCCAACAGCAGCCTCAGAGCAACTCGTCCAGAGAGTCTTTGAACCAAGAGCAGATCGTTGCAGAAGTGCAGAGACAAGTTAGGCAGCAGCTACATGAACACGACGAAAGACAGCAGAAGTTGTTGACGGAGAATCAGCAGCTTCGTGAGATGGTTGGTCGGTTGCTGGGTCAAGCATCGGATTCGGGTGGTCAGGGTGGAGGTGGAACTGAAGCGACTTTGGGGCCCCAGGAGACTGCGTTCAACCGAGAAGTGGCGCAGGGTGGAACTCTTCAAGTACCAGTTCGCCAGCAAGGACGGATCCTTGAAAATCCTCCTGGACTACAACCGAGTCCCGGTGTTCCTCTACGGGGTGTTGTTGAAGGAGCGCAGATCCCTCAGCATCGGCCTCAGCACGACCAGGGAGTTTTTTGTGGCAATCTTTCTGGACAACAAGGTGTTTCAGGCGTCGCTGAAGGTGAACCGCCAGGACCGGGAGTCAGTCTCCCAAGGGAGTCCGGAGGCGGCGGTGCAGCAACTGGAACAAGATCTGGAACAGAGCCACATCTGGGCGGTCCAGCTCAGGCTAGCGCTCCTGTTGGAGCGGCTCGTGACAGTTCGGCTGGCCCCTCTGTGAGCGCGGGAGATCCGATGAGTCTTCTAGTGCAGGGAATGGCCCAGCTTCAGCAAGCGTACTTGGGACGCCCCGAAGGCGATCTCAAGGGAACGGTGGATTTGCCACAAATGCCGGATGTTGGTCCGGACGCAGCGGTGGAGTTCTCGGACTGGATCTACGAAGCCGAACAGGCTATTGGGAGTTTGTCGGACCGAGCGGCCCTTTGGTTTAGTGCTTGTCTGGAAGTGGCGCGGACCACCTACGACACCTACGTGACCTCCACGCCGCTGCAGCGTCTTTCGCTGACTCCTGAGATCCCGCCGGAGCTCAAGGACCAAAAATGGTCCCGTCTCGAGAGAAAGGTCATGTCTCTCCTTCTGAACTCCATGAGGAAGACGGCGAAGGACGAAGCCATCACGCACAGGATTTCGACAGTCCCGGCTTTGTTGTATAGGATGTACGTGCTCTACCAGCCGGGAGGTTCAGCGGAAAGGACGATGATCCTCAAACACTTGGAAGGTCAAGCAGTTGGAGAAGATGTTCATGTCTGCGTTACAGCCCTACGGCGATGGAGGCGGTACTTGCAGCGAGCCGAGGACATTGGGATAGCGGTTCCGGATGCTTCGGTTCTTCTTCGAAGTGTGGAGCAGATTTCCAAGCGGGCTTTGGAAGCCCATCCAGATGTGAAGTTTCGGGTGGCCCTGACCAAGAATGAGCTTTCTCTTCACAGCCGCCCGGAGAGTGCAGCAGTGATCAGGTACTACAACACGATCCTTGCGGAGCTGCAGACGATCGCCCCAGCCAAGGCGTCGGTGACTACTACGGCTTCTGATACCACTAAGTTGAAGGCAGTGAATGCTTCTGGAATCCGTGAACAACTTGATGATTCTACTGTGAACTCCCCGAAGGGCAAGGGTCAGATCCCATGCAAATTCTTCCTCACAGATTCTGGTTGCAGCAAGGGCCATGGTTGTCAGTTCTCCCACAACTTTTCGAAGAAGGAAAAGGCTGGCAGATGCTGGACTTGTGGATCGACCCAGCACCAGCAGGCAGCTTGCACTGTGAAGAAGGGAGGAAACAGTCCCAGTGGAAGGCCTCCAAAAGGGGCCTCCAAGGGGTCGGCGGTGGCGCAGCTGGCTGCCTCTATGGCAACGGTGCCTGCGAGCTCAGGGGGTTCTTCTTCAGCGGCGTCTACTTTGTCAGTGCCTTCCACTTCGGTGTCTGCGGTTGGTCAAGAGCAGCCGGCTAAGGAAGAACCGACCATGCCAGCAATTCCAGAAGCTGAGGTTCGACAACTTTTGATGGAGGCGAATGCGATGCTCAAGGAGATGAGGCAGTTGAAGATGATGGCTCTGTCTTCTACACGAGTGGAGAACGAGGCGGTCTCCCATGGGTGTGGTCCTATGACGGGGCGATCGGGCCTCTTGGACTCTGGAGCGAGCCATCCATTTAGAATGGCGTCAGAAGAGGAAGTTCAAGTTGCGGACCGAGTGAATGTTCAGTTGGCCAATGGCTCCGAGATTACTTTGGCGCAGAACGCTGCAGGCACGCTCCTCAAGACGACTTCGACCGAAGAGGCGCATGTTGCACCCATAGTCCCCCTCGGCTCTTTGGTTCAGGACTTAGGGTGTGATCTTCAATGGACGCGTCGGAAGGGCTTGGAGATTCGTCACCCGCAACATGGGATCATACGTCCTCAGGTGGTGGGAAAGTGCCCGCTTGTTGGTGAAGCTTGTGCTTTGGAGTTGATCCACGAGCTAGAGGAGCTCAAGGTCCAGTCTCTTCGGGATTCCACGAATAACACCCAAAAGAGATTGTGGATGTGGGATCGGGACAAGGAGTGGGCGTCTCATTTGGAGGAGTTCCTGATGACTGGCACTCGTGCATCTCAGCTCCTTGTGCTGACGGCTCGGGACTCACCTTTCACGGGGCTTTCGGATATGGAGAGGAGTGCCTTATGTGAGCAAGTTGACTTGTCCGACAGCGCTGGCTGGAACTACCTGAAGGCGATCCCCTGTTCGAGGAAAAGGCGGAAGAGGCTGATGAACACGCCGTGGATAGTTCATTTGTATGCAGGTTCTGGCAAAGGCGTGGACCCGGTGTTCAGGACCCTTGAAGACTCTAGAGTGCTGGTGGAGATTGACATCGCGAAATCTATGGCCTATGACATGTTCAAGGTCTCTGGTGTGTATCGGGCTTTGTTATGGGCGGCGGCTACAGGAAGGGTGGATGGCATCATTGGTGCCCCTCCTTGCCGGAGCGAGGGTGACTCTCAGTTGTTGCTGAAGCAGCTGTGGTTAGTTGCTGTTGCCAAGGCTGCCCGAGCTCACCGTCCTGGAGCACCAGTCTTTGCAGTGATCGAGGGTGTTCGGTTGCTCAACGCTTTGCGCTCTAAGGACTTCGTTCGTTGGCCTACGGTGAGATCAGTTTGGAAGGGCGTCCTAGAACAGTTGTGTTTGGAAGAAACCGGGACCTCTTTGGCGACGAACATGGTTTTTCCGACCATCTTGCCAGAGCTTCCGAGTTCTTCTATATGGACCGAGGAGTTCAAGATGACTGTGCTTTCTGCGGTGGAAGCTTGGAAGTGGAGTCCAGAAGGTCTACAAGTTGAACGGTGGATGAAGCGCCTTGATGCCGACCCGAAGAAGTTTTTGGAGGGATTCACAGACGAGGAGCTGTAGCGATGGAAAAGTCACGTGCTCAACAACCACATTCCGTTCAATCGCAAATGCAAGACCTGTGTGATGAGCAAGGCTACAGGGCGAGCTCACCGTCGCATCCGGCATCCAAGTGCGTTTTGTTCGGGCCTGGACATAGCTGGCCCGTTTCGCAACAAGGCCGCAGATCCAAACCACAATGACTACCGATATCTCCTGGTTGGAGCGTATACTCTGCCTAAGGAACCTCCAGATGATCCTGTCCTAGGACAAGAGCGTGATGAGAAGATGTTGGAGGAGACCGAAGAGAATTGCGATCCTGAGGATGATGGCAGTGGTGTGGGACCTGTTCCTTGTGGCGACGATGGTGATAATGAAGAAGCTTGGGATGAGCTAGATGATGAGTGGGATCGGAGGAACCCCCCTCTCAAGGGTGATGACGGGCTTCGGGGCCTCACCGACGAAGAGTTTGCTAAGATCTTCTCTGAGCTTGACAAGCCGTTGGAGACTAAGGTTTTGTACTTCGCCATGCCGTTGAGGAGGAGAACTTCAGCTCATGTTTTGGCTGCAGTGCAGAGCATGTTCCTGAGAGTCCGCAGTGAGGGATTTCCAGTTCAGCGAGTTCATTCGGATCGGGCGAGAGAGCTTCGTACTGAGCCTCTCAAGCGCTGGCTTCTGCAACATGGGGCGCTCTCTACATACACGGAGGGCCAAGCTCCTCAGCAGAATGGGAGGACGGAGGCGGCAGTCAAGTGGTTCAAGAATGAGATACGACTGTTGTTGAGTGCCTCGGGCTTACCAAAGGCGTGCTGGGCTACGGCTGGAGTTCATGCTGCTGCTGCACAGCGAAACAGAGTTCTGGGGCTTGAAAGTCCGTTGCTACCTTATGGAACGAAGATCCACCTGCGGGCCAAGACCTACGGCAAGAACCAGAACCCTGAAGCTTGGGATTTGCGGTGGAAGCCAGGAATCTACGTTGGTCCATCGTTGGATGTTATGGGAGGACACGTGGTGCGCTTCGAGGATGGGTCGTTCACTACTACAAAGCATGTGCGTCCGGGGTTGGTCGATGTCAACAAGATTGTGGATGTGGGAACCTACGAGGCGGTGATTCCAGTGCCTGTGAAAAGGTATCGAAGGAAAACAGACGCAGCTCGTGAGGACGAAGACCCTGATGAGGAAATAGTGGGACCCTATGATCCCAATCATCCTGCGGAGCACTATGCGATGGGACTACTTGATGAAGACTTCTTGATCCCAGACCAGTTGGAGACCCTTACGCATTTGTTGCCGACAACCTCAAGAGTTCCCAAGAGATTTGGTGAGCTAGGTGGGGATGGAAAAATTTGGTCCGCTGGAGCTTTCGTTCATGGTGGGGTGCTTGGAGTTAAGAGGGCAACAACGTCTTTCCCCATGTCCACTATGGTGTTCAACAAGTACTTGAAGCAGATCGCGCCAGACTTTAAGTTCAACGCGGTGGCGGTCAATGTGGATGTGTTGACTCAGGAGCACAAGGATGTTCACAACGTGGGGAAAAGTTTGATAACCGCTTTGTCGACCTTTTCTGAAGGTGGACTAGTTGTGGAAGGAGATGATGGACGCAAGATCCTTGAGGTGACCCACAGTCCGAGTTATTTTGAGCCTCACCAGAAGCATTCAACTGCTCCATGGAAGGATGGGCAACGCATAGTCCTTGTGGGCTACTCAGTAAGGGACAGTGGCAAACTTGCCGAGGACCATGTGGCTACGTTGAAACATCATGGCTTTGACTGGGATCCTCACGTTCGACCAGCTGATCCTTCTGCCCCTTCCTCTATGTTGAGTGCTCTGAGAGTACAGCTGTTGGACGCAAGGACTGAACGTGATCCACTACAAGCTACCACAAGGACTGAACGTGATCCACTACAAGCTTCCACAAGGACTGAACGTGATCCACTACAAGCTCCTACAGAGACTGGACGTGATCCACTACAAGCTCCTACAGAGACGGGACGTGATTCACCACAAGCTTCCACGGGGACAGCACGTGACCTACCACAAGCTTCTACGGCAACCAAGGGCGATCGGATTCGTGAACCCTTTGCGTTTGGAGAGTTGGACGCTCTACATGTCAGCCAGGACTTGGACCTAGCAATCCAGGATATGGAAGATCGGGCAGGTCGCCTTCGAGATCTCATTGAGCACGAGGAGATCATGTCTGAGGAGTACCGTAGATTAAGAGAGGAGTCTCGAGAGCATTTGTTGGGAGCTCGCGGCGTTCTTGGATGAGGTGCACACGGGCCTTGTTGAGTTAGAGAAGCTTCGGGCAATGACGTGCTTGAAGGCAGTGAGGTCAACTGGGTCGCCGTCTACTACATTGCAGTCGGAGGAGATTGACTACGAGACCATGCTCGATGCGTTGGAGGAGGATTTGAAGATTGTGCACACGGTTCCGTTGCCCCAGGTCAAGAATGCACTGAGCCGGTGGGTGGAGGCTATCAGAAAGGAGGTTGAGATGCTGTTCAAAACCGGCACTTTGCGACGGGCGACTCATCAAGAGATCAAGGACCTGGAAGCCCAGGGCAAGGTCATGATGGCTCCGGCGAAATGCGTATTCACCCTGAAGCCTCCTGCAGTGTCGGGTTGCCGGGCAAAAAGAAAGTGTAGAATCGTTATCTGCGGAAACTTTGTGCCGACGGGGTCCTCCGATATCAATCTTTATGCTACCGGTGCCTCTACGGATGCATTGAGGGTGGCATTGGTTCTTGCTTCCCTGAACGATTGGCTTGGAGCAATTTCAGACATCGCCAGTGCATTCCTGCTGGCCCCCTGGCCAGCAGATCTCCCTCGCTATGCCATTCGTCCTCCACGAGTGGTTCGGGACAGTGGCGAGGCTACGGAGGTTGAGTACTGGATCATAGACAGAGCCTTGTATGGACTTCGAGAGTCACTGGCCATATGGGGAAGCTTTCGGTCTGATCGCCTGAGTAAAGCGAGAATTCCGTTCAAAGGCGTGATCCTCAGGTTTGTGGCTACTACGTCTGACCCAGAGCTTTGGCTGGTTCAGGAGGAGCACACAAGGATTCTCTATGGGCTCTTGGTGACCTATGTGGACGATTTGTTGTACTTTGGAGAGAGAGCCTTGATTGAAGCTTTACACCGGCTCATTTTGGAGGAGTGGCCAGCGAGTGATCTTGAGTGGATCAATGAGTCTTCGGCGGTGAGATATTTGGGTGTGGAGATCCTGAAGAGGAAGGGTGGTGGTTTCTTTGTGAGTCAGCAGGCTTATGTGGAGGAACTTCTACGAACTTACGAGATGCAGGATGTCCATCCGACTCAACTTCCCGCCCCTCGAGAATGGATTGAGATGGCCGAAACACAGGAAGAACAAGAGGACTTTCAGGAAGATGATCTACGTCGGGCACAAAAATGTGTTGGAGAAGCGTTGTGGTTAGCCACGAAAACAAGACCTGATATTCTCTTCATCGTCAACCATATGAGTACGTTTGTAAGTCGTCGACCTCACCATGTTTATCGAGTTGGACAACGAGTATTGTCGTATTTAGCTGGCACAAAGGACCTGAAGCTTCGACTTGGAGGAGTTGCTGAGGTGGACAAGGTGATCACGTGCTTTACGGACGCGAGTTATGCACCGTTCGGGCAGAGGTCCTTTGGGGCGGCTGTTGTGACTATCAACCAGTCACCAGTTGCCTGGAAAGCAGGTCGCCAAGCATTTGTGACATTGAGTGTTATGGAAGCAGAGCTCTACGCTGCTACTCAGGGTTGCTTGTTGCTGGAGGCGATCGCTGCACTGGTCAATGAAGTGTACCCGGGTGTCTACAGGAAGGCTTTGGCAGTGGACAATACGAGCGCGGAAGCAATGCTAGCTGGAGGCCCAGGTTCACAGCGAACTAGGCACTTGAAGATTAGAGCAAGCTATGTGCGAGAGTCAGTGCAGGAAGGTCGCATGACAATTCACCATGTTGAAGGAAACTTGCAGCTGGCAGATTTGGCGACCAAGTTGCAACCTCGACTGCGACTTCAACAGCTACTACGACTGTGGGGTTTTGTTGGCTCCTGTGTCGATGAGGCTGTCAAGATCTTCAAGTTGAAGGCTCTAATGCTGGCAATGATGCTCTCCTCGTTGATTTGCCCCTCTAGAGCTCAACCGTCCGAGAGCAAGGAGCCGCTGCGGGGCATTGAATGGGATGAGATTCTGTTCGTGCTTGTGGTGGTTTGCGTGGCGACGGTGATGTTCTGGGAGCTTGCCAAGTATGCCTACAAGAGGGTTGCCAGGTACATGAAGGGGTGTCGAAAGGCTAAGCGACTTCGAGATGTGGGGACTATTGCCGCTGAGGCAGCGAAGCGCGAGATCCGACTACATGAAGAACGGCAAGAAGCTCTACAACGAGACCGACGTTTTCAAGGTGATGTTGCTTCTTCCCCTGTGCAAGAAAGCCCCGAACCCCGTACCCGTGTTTCTGAGCCGTCATCAAGTACTTCGATGAGGTCTACAGCTGTGAGGGTTGAAAGATCTACGTCCCCGGTTATTTCAAGGAGAATTTCAAGTGGGCAACAATCTTCTTCCCGGGGATCACGTGTGAATTTGCGCTCAGAAGACGTTGATGAAAGGGCTCGGGTTGCAAGGGACATGTTGTCGCTCATGTCAGTTGAAGACTTGAAGACTGGATTGAGGTGTGAAGGGCTTCCAGTTACAGGCATCAAGACTGATTTGATTGCACGGCTGAGTCATATGCTATCTCCTGCTGGTGATGATCGTGAAGATTCCTTACCTACGATGCGGCAGATGAAATACGTCCTGTGGTTGTTTCGACAAAAGAATCTCAATGGGCGCGTGCGACTCCTGTGGGACACTATCAACGACAGGGCAAGGATCTCTAGGTGGATCGAGACATGGAGGACAGCGTGAAGAACAACGTTGTTACGAGAATGTCAAAATTAGCAAAAGGCTGTGTACTTGTGCAATTGTCTCGCCACCGTCAGATGTGCCTCAAAACCGTAGGTGAGAGGCAAGGAGGAGTGTGGAAGAGCTCTCACTTCGTTGTGACGGTGGCTTGTGCTGTGGCTCTAGCTTTGAGGCTTGAGCAGGATGAATCATGATTCTCAAAGCAGGCTTGTAAAGATCGTCAGCTTTCGAGAAGTCACATAACACGTTGCTTTTGGAGTGTGAAAACAGCTAGCTGCCGCGCCGCATGGTCACGAACCCTTGAGCCTACCCAGAGCCCAAAGCTCTTCAGGTTTATATGGTCTGAGGCCGGCCGCTTCCAACAGCAAGGCTTCCGGTGTGCCGGGCGGCCAATAGTTTGAGTGATTCGGCTGGAACTGCAGGGGTTCTAATACCCCAAACCCCAAACCCTAAACGCCTAAACCCCAAACCTGAGGCCAGGGTTTTGCAGTGCGCGGCTCTGCAGCCTTGGGGTTTCGGGTGCCGTCGTAGCTAGTTGAGTTTGTACACCCCAGGATGCACTAAGCCGAAACCCTAAACCCTAAAGGCCCTAAAACTCCCTAAATCCCTACATTAGATCCCCGTAACTTTCCTAAATTGCCTAAACCCCTAGAGCCAAACCCAAGCTGTTTGGCTCCATGCAATCGGCTCTGTACTTCAAAGCCATTCTGGGCCTACGCACCGGCAGCTCCGAAACATGCCAGACATCCCCACATACCTCGGAGACCTCTAAGCTTGCAATTTTCCATGCACCTGACGAAATCCCAAAGCAGGCCGAACCTTAAGCCCCAAAAAGCCTAGAAATCTTCAGCTTCTTTTCCTGTAATTAAGCCTGAAACCCTGTCTGGTGAAGCTTGAAGCTTCTGCCTTAAGCCCGAAGCGAAGACAAGGGTGCGGGACTTGTCATGGTTTGAGAATCTTGGCAGGATGTCGGGCTCAGGCCTGCGAATAAGCGCTTCGTAGGGTTTAGGGCTCGGTATGAGCTAGGGTTTAAGGCTTGGGCTTTAGGGTATGGGCTTAACTCCGAAATATTCAGCAGTCTCCTGCTACAATGGAGACTGCCGGAAGAACCTGCAACATGAACCCGTGTCCTTTGAGGTGCACTGGAGAGCATGGGGTGAATCTAAATCTAGAGCCCCTCCTCAAAGCTGGTAAGCTGGTGTGGTGTGCCTGGCTGCTGTAGTGAGGGCAGATCCTGAATCAAGGTCTAAATTGAAATCCCCCGATAGGGCGGTAGGCTTCAGGGCCGAACATAGACGTGCAGGCTTGGGGTAGCTCGACGTGCGGGGTTGTCAGATGCGTTGCAAGTATCTTAGATGTTGCGTACCTAGCTCTTCTCCTGAATCTGTGGATGCGGGTTTGGTTGTGCTGGCATCTTCCGTAAGCCCTACATCCTAAACCATATAAACATACACTACCCTATGATGCCATCTTTCTGGTACACATGGTCATGGTCTCTAAGGCGAGATCCTCTCGGCACAAACCACCGAGGGTCTCGACTCTTAAGCCGCGCGCGAGGAGGCATCGGAAGCTGTAAGCAACGCCCCCATGAGCCGTTTAGGGTTTAGGGTTCAGGGCTTAGGTTTAGGGTATCGGGTTTAGGGTTTAGGGTTTAGGGTTCAGGGTTTAGGGTTTAGGGTATCGAGTTTAGGGTTCAGGGTTTAGGGTATCGGGTTTAGGGTTCAGGGTATCGGGTTTAGGGTTTAGGGTTTAGGGTTTGCAGGGTTTAGGGTTTAGGGTTCAGGGTTTAGGGTTTAGGGTTCAGGGTTTAGGGTATCGGGTTTAGGGTCCAGGGCTGTCTTGTTTTTTCTTAGTTCGTTGTGTATATGCCTTGTGGGGGCTAGAGGTGTTGGTTTCTGGGCTCAGGCGCTTAGGGTTTGTGGCTTCGACATTTGAGTCAAGCTAGGGAGCGACAACATAATCTCTACAGCCCTAACTAATGGCACCAAAGACGGCTCGCTGCCCAAAGACAAGCAAGCAAATAGCTGTTTAGTTGGAGATGCTGGTGTGGGATTCACAAGTTCCCAGACCCTATAACAATAAGAGTATCGCTGACATGCATGACCCCTGACACCCAAACCCTATACATCCGTTCAAGTAGAGGTCCCCAGGTCTCAAATGGCAGAGCCAACGTCCACAACTCTAATACAAGGGCCTTAATAATTAGAATGGGGTTTCGGGGCCCAGTATACTATAGTTATAATAGCGAAACTCCAAAAGTATAGGTAATTATTAAGGCCCCTATATTAAACCTTTCCGGGTGGAAGGCTGTTGTTGCTTTTGCAGGAGTCTTCACCCTCAGCGATATCTCCTTTTCCGGCTGCTCGCACTAAACTGCGTGGCTGTTTGAGACTCTCAGCTTGGAAGCAGGAAAGTTAATGAGACTCTCATCTCAAAGTCTAAAACCCCTCAGAAACAGAATTAGAGGAAACCTGGATAGCTGTTAGCGCCGAACCATTAAATCGCAATTTTATCAGTGAATAAGCTCCAGACTCAGATCCCGACCCCCTTTCTTGGCTTTCGGATTCAAGCCTCAAGGTCCTACACTCGTAGATTACACCAGGAGATCAGCAGATTGGGTACCACCCGGTATACTTCTCCGGGCTTCACCCGGTCACTGCAGTTCCTCCAGGAGCTCCTCTGGCGTGGTGTCTGGCCATTTCTTGAAGCGCTCTCTCAGTATGTTCCTGATGGGCAACGGTGCTTGCAAAACAACACCATGACATCGTGACCACACTTCTTTGTCTGTGTTGCTCGATGCCCGTCGTCAAGAACCAAACACTAGCAGAGCATGCTTTCGAATGCACATCACTGAATGATAGCCAGGTCTCAGCAGGTCTTGGTACAGCTCCCCGACTTTGTCGTCTGATGCAGGTCCAGCTCCACGCGTGGCCAGGGGCTGCTTCAGGAGGTCGCTCATTTCATGCACCTTATGTCCCAGGCCCTCCCTCCAAGCAGATACCTATCCTATCATATTCTATCCTATCCTGTCCTATCTATCTCTCTCTCTCTCTCTCTCTCTCTCTCTCTCTCTCTCTCTCTCTCTCTCTCTCTCTCTCTCTCTCTCTCTCTCTCTCTCTCTCTCTCTCTCCATCTAGATATATATATATATACATGTATACACATGTATTATACTTTACATTGTATTGTATGATAAAACCTTAATGTATTATGTCATGCTACATTTTCTTATATGGTATTATATGGTTTGACATTACATCGTATGATAGGATAGTGTATTGCATTAGGTTACATATACACTATAATTAATATATATATATATATATATATATATATACACATACATATACACACACTCATACAGCGTTATGACTATATACATAAGACGGAAGCCTGCTTCATTGATATAGTTGTTTGTCGTTATAGACCAAGCTTCCCAAATAATTCCTGGCTTCAGCGACGCTGCAATTCCAACTTAACCACCTCAGTTTCTACTGTGGTACGAACATAGACGCTTTTTCGAAATCTCTGCAAATGAGCTAGGTGCGCCATAGAGTGCACCTGGTGCACAATCCTCACTGCGACGCTCAGAACAAGGAACTCTCGCGACCAAGTGGGGCTTTCACCAAAGCGCTTGGAATGTTGTGCACAGTGGGGTGTTGAAGGCTTAAGGGTTTAGGAATCTCTCGGCATGAAAATTCGGTTCGGGCTTACTGTGTTGAAGTCCAGTTCTCCAGCTTCAGGTGTTGGATCATGGGCCCAAAAAAAAACTTTCACTCGGGTCTTGGGGTATGTTGCTTCTACGATCATGTAAACAAAGGCTTGCAAGCCCTAGGCCCGAAAGGACGGTACTCAGGATTGGCCGTGGGGCGATCTTTGCAAGGGCCCCAGAGCTCCCCCACCTAGGCTGCGCTTGCCAGTTGTGCTTCTGCATTTAGACGACTATGAGCTGTGGTTTGGGTTCTAGGTGTATGCAAATATTACCGGATATTATGCTCGACAAGAATTAGCAGGTTTGGTCCAAGATTACGGCTCAAGAGCTCTCGGTCTGTCCATCTGGCGATTCGGTGTCGGGCGACTGACAATACAAAGCCAGGTATGGTGCTGGCAAACCTCTTACCTGCACCCTGGGCCACAAGGCGCGCACAAAAACGTTGTACACGACAGCAGCGAGGGTCGTTCAGGAATAGGGCTGTGCACAGCACTTCGCTTCAGGAACTAAGTGTCCTATATACTATATATACATATATATATATATATACAGTTGAAAGGCTCATAGGATTTCACATAGAGAACACTACAAAACAAGTAATTTCTTGAGAAATATGAGAGCATAGGTTAACAATTTTGGAATTATGGGTGCAGAACCCAAAACCCCAAAACCACCAAACTAGACAAAAACATATTGAAATTTATGCCTTTTTGAACAAAAACCTCAACATCAGAAAGCAAACCAATGCACTGGAAATTCAACCTAAACACTTTAATATGGGAGTCATAAACAGAGCACCAGAAGAAACGCCCTGGAGCAAAAGAAACATACTTAAAGCCCCAAGCCCCGCGTGTCCAAGACAACAATAGCCTGATGCCCCGAACCGGCAAAGGAGTTCTGAGCTAAATCAGCTCGTGCTACTTGCCAATATCTGGCGTCGTATATATTGGAGAATATGGGTCCTTGCTTCTCCAAAGAATCCATGTGGGGACAGTCTACGTAAGTTGGTTGCCATCTGTCGTGCCCCCGTAGCAACTGAAAAGACAGATCCAAAAGGCTCCCGCTGTCATAATAAAGGATAAGACTGGCCACGTTTTGTCCGGTGTCGTTGGTAAAGGCCGCATATCAAGGTTCTCCTGGACGAAGATAATCAACTGTTCCTTCAGTCGATGAGGGGGCCAGGAGGTCATTTCCATGGCCCAGTCCATGGTCTCGTTTCGAACTTTTGCTCGGACTTCAACTTGGAGGCCAAGGCCGGCAGGCGAAGGCCGCACGGAGTCCACAAGGCGGATTTGGCTGGTCTCGAAGCGCAGGCTCTGAGCAACCAGCTCCTGGACTCGGAGTGGCGTCATGTCGTGTGGAAGCAGAAGTTGCAAAGTCTGCCCGTCTGGAAGATAGACCGAGACGTTTCTGCGCTCGCAGTCGCGCTCGACATCTGCATGAAGGCCTTCGTGGACACCTGACATCTGCAGCACTACTGAGAAAGCTGAAGATGCAGGAATCGTTGTACTAGCAGGTGTCAGGAACCAGGACTCGCAAAAGCAAACAAGAGTAGCTCTCCAGAACCCAGGCACTGTCCAACAGCATCTTCTGCGTGTATTCATCCAGATTCAGTGCACGCAAGACACCTTCAAGCTTCAGTTTCTGAAAGCATAGACAGCATCTGCCATCCACCTTCGCCCGAGTGAAGAATTGCACGGTTGAGGGAGTAAGGATCAAGCTTCGGTGCGCATAACGAGAACATGATTCAACAAACTGTAGCAGCAACAGGCCAGCGTGTAAGGAATACACGACGATAATTGGCAGCGGGTAGCAGTAAAGCCGTCGATGTGTATTCCTCGTGCTCGCAGTGGTTGTTAGTTAGTGGCGGTGATAGTATAGCGGCAGGGGTAGTTGTATTGACAATACCGGAATGGGCAGCAGAAGCATTGGCAGCAACAATTTCGCAGGAGCCGGAGCAATTAATGGTAGCTGAAGACAAAGCAGGAGCAGCAGTTGCGGTAGCCATAACAGTAGCAGCAGCATTGGTACTCGTCGTCGTAGTCTTGTTGTCGTCGGAGTCGGTGGCGGCGTAGTGGTAGTAGCCATGCTACAGTAACAGTAGTGGTCCTCGTCGTGGTAGTTGTGGTGGTGCTGGTGGTGGCCGTGGCGGTGGTGGTGGCGGTCGTCGGCCGAGCAGTCATGGTCGACGTCGCAGTCTTGGCACAGAACATGGTGGCGACATGCAACCAGTGGTAAAACAACGAGAACTGTTATTCAATAGCCCAATCGAACTAGACCTGGACGAGTTGATAGCACAACCCCTTAAGACCTCATTGATTTCTCGAGACAACAACTCACTAGCACCACTCATGTTATTGTGGCACAAAAGCACACAAAAATGATCATGACGAGGATGATGAGTCTGATAAGCGTGGGGATGATTCTGATAATGATGGTGATGGTGATGAATGAGAACAAGAGGAATTACCAGTCGCAGTCTCGCGGGGCCTCCTGCCGGTGAACGAGGTCGTCGATCAGCTGCACAATCCTCGTAAATCCCTCCTGTTCCCCAAGAATCTGCTCCGTGTTGTACTGCAGCTGTGCGATGCGACGAATCTCTCCTGCCGCTATATACAGCTGCACCTTGAACCACAATCGAAATCCTACCTTCTGACATCCGACATGAAAGAGTGCAGCAGAAGGGCGGTACTGGGGACCTAGAGACGTTGAACTTCGGTGAGGTGCATTTCAGATCGGAGCTCGGCAGGAACTCTTTGTTTGCGTCCCCGCGTCCTTGCAACTGGACGTTATCGTCATGCTCCCAGTGCTCCCGGGCCAGAATTTCCTGCCACTGCCCTGCCATGGCACGCGGCGAAGCGCTGAAAGTCTTGAATGCCCACGCCTCAAACCTCGCTGACACCTTATCCGGTCTTAAGCCTAAAAGATAGTTCGATAGACTCAACTCTTGAGTCTTACACCCTGCAACCCTCCAGTATGTGTATCACACCGACTATCACTATCTATACCTATATCCATATCACATTGTCACGTCTCATATCCATAATATTTATCCCTCGCTCGACCCTTGGCTGACATTGCCAATGCGCTTGGGCCAAGGCGAAGTCTGCTTGGGGTCATCGGATTCGAGGTCTGCTTTCATGATCTTGAAGAGCTTATAGAGTCTAAGGATGTTTAAGGTCTCATGATCTTGAGGGATTCTTTATTCCGAAAGCTCAGCTTGGAGGGTTTAGGGCTGTTTAGGGATGTTTAGGGTTTGGGGTTGCAGGTTTCGTGGTCTAAGGGTCTTCGGGCTTAGGGATGTTTAGGGTTGAGTGTGCAAAGAGAAGAAATGCCCTTGAGGAGTATTTGTGTCTGCACTGCAACCTTGCATAGAAGATGTATGCAAGCTCTTATGCACTAAACTCGGATTCCCCAGGCCCACCCCCATCCGCTGGATTCTGAAAGAACCTGGGCTGTTGTGGCCTAAATGGCGCAGAGCCTTAAACTCGACCACCCTAAAGTCCAGACCAACAACCCTGAGCCCAAAGCCATACGAAACCAAAGCACAGGTCCTACACGAGAGTCATGCTCGGAGGGTTTTGCCTTTATGTTTGCCTTTGGGGATTAGGCTGAAAGGATTATACCGTTATACCGGAAAGGGAGCACACAAAGCTTCAAAGGAGGCGGATCTTCGGTTTGACGTGTCCGGACTGCCTCATAGGGTCTTCGCGGCGGGCTCCTCGAGATTCTGTACCGAAGCTGCCCTGCATGTTTCTGTCGCATTGGTAGAACGGATGTGATGAACGGATTCCTGAGCAAGAGGTCATTGCCTCGAGCTGCAGTTTGCGGCCATGCACTTTCAAGTGATCTGTTGTCCTTACCGCTGCATGCTAACCGGCGGAAGCGAGGCAACACTCGCATGCGGATACAGTGCCAATCTCAAATTGAGGCGGCGTAAAGAAACCCCCATCAGTGTAAACATACTTATTACCTGCCATTACACAACTTGATACTCGTATCGTCTTGCAGGAACATGCATGTTACCAGTTGATCTCTACTCTAACCGTTTGACAAATCACCAGCTTCTCACTTTCAGGACAGGCCTACTGTTGAAATCCCAACAGCAGCTGTTTTATCCATCATCCCTCTGAACCCTCATTCCTAAAAGCGATGGCTCTGTTTCTTGGTCCCACGGCTTCATGTAGATCTCGAATACCCCCCTTCCCTTAGCCAGGTCAACATACAGGGACTGCAAGACTGTAAGGGATTCGAGTTGCGGTGTTGGGTTCGGGGGTCAAGAGTTGAGGTGCAGGGCTGACAGCCGGGAATTTGGCGTACATCGCAACGCATCCGTGCCGCATGCAGAGGAACGGGAGCAGCTACGCCGTGTCAAAGACACTTGCCAGCCGTTGCTGCTAACTCTGACTCGGACAATCTAATGTAGGGGGGGTTTGAATACTGAACCCGCTCCTTTAAAGTACAGTATACTAAAGTACTAAAGGTTTTTAAAGGTACAGAAACCTACCGAGTAGTATCAGCAAGTATTTATGCCACTATATTGGACTTTTAACCCCGATGCCCTTCCTAAACCTTCCAACCCCAAACCGGGAAAACAGAGAGTCTGTTTCAGTACGAAAAACCCACGAATGAATAAAGCTCCTTCTAAGTCTAGGATGCCCAGCAACCTAGGAATAAAAAGGGCTCCCTTTTTGGTATTGGGTAACGTTATATGGAACCTAGGACTACAAACCTTACCATCGTCCCCTTCGTCCCCAAAAGGCAGCGCTGGTTAGCGGCATCGCTGGGACAGCGTCTCAGTCAGTTTGATGCCAACAATCTCACCTGCACAGCATGGGTGGAAGTCTGTAGGGACCCCACCGTACATTCAGGGCCGCAACAATTCCCAAATACTCCTAAACTCTAGGCAGGATTCACCCTGAAAGCAAGATGGAAGCCTGGTACTATTCCATTTTGAGTTCGACGTGAACAGCCAAGGGTTTAAGTCCCATGGCTTAGTGCAACCTGTGGTCCACATGCTGGCCTTTGGCATAACAATCGGCTCAGAACGGCCAAGCAAGTTATAATCACCGTGCGCAATGCGCAGCGAGGAAGGTGCAGGGATTTCTGTTTCATTGCCGCTTCCAGCTATTGCGGGATGTGTAGGTGTAGGGCTTTCTGCTTTGAACAATTTCGGATCGTTGGCTGTTTGACCAATGGCCTTCTGACCACTTTGGATATTGGAGTCGGAGGCTTCAGAAGAATTTAGGCTGAGCGCTTGTAGGGCTTCAAGGTTGGCAAGGAACAAGACCACGGGTTACCTTAGTCTTGCTTTCACCTCCTGGAAGAGAACCGCCGCTGAAACAACCCTAAGTACACCCTGCTGCACCCTTTCCGAGTTAGCTTCAGATGAATCCAGATCCAGTGGGGGTGCACCGGCCCAAACCCTGAACGACCCTTATAAGTAGCCCTTACTTATTAAGCCTTAACACAAAATCCGAAAGAACAAGCTTACAATGCTAGGCGAGCTAACCTTCAACAAACAAGACACTCAACCCAGCTTCGAGCGTGCTTGCCCCTTTTCTCCCGATGCCGCTGCGAGGAGCCGGTGGTCATCGAGCACGGAGAGAAAGGATTACCTCAACTGCAATCATCTACTGCTACTGCGAACTGTCCCTATGACCGTCTGCATTCCATTCGGAATACATTAACACCCACTCAACACAAGTCCTAAAGGCTCCGTCGAAGATTACTGTATGTGGAAACCCCAAGACAGGCATTGGCTCTTGGCCGCTTCAGATCAGCAGCTGGGGAAGGAAGCGCTTCCTCCCAGGCCCCACGGCAAACCTCGCACTTCTGGATCTTGGGGCTTGGAGTCTAGAGTTTGAGGGTCGGTTTAGGTTTAGGGTTGTAGGTCAGCTGATTTTCGGGCTCTGGGATTTTTTGGGAAGGGTGGTTTAAGGTTTGGCTTATTTGAGATCATGGATGACTTGAAGCTGTAAAGCCTGAATTGGTTCGATGATGCTCTGAGCCTCAAACCCTCTCCCAGCTTGTTTGTCTGCCAACGAAACACCAAGATCCCGCTGTAGCTTCCTACAGCTTTTCCCTGTCTGTCCTACTAAACCATCACATAAATCCTGCAAAGGCTCAGATAAAATCCGAAAGCCCGAAACCCCAAACCCCAAGACCCCGAAACCCCGTTAAAGCCTAAACTCCCTCCAACCCTCATTAAACGAACACCCACTTAACCCTCACACCAACCACAAAAAAGGATTCGGACCGGGAACCTCGGAAAAAGTTCGGATGGCCGCTCGGCGGCTACGGCCGGCTCAGCGGGGGCAGATCTGCTGAGTTCCGAACGCACCTTCCCAGGCTTCAGAGATTGGAGTTTAGGGTTTAGGGTTGAGGGTTTAGGGTTTAGGGCTTTAGGAATCCTAAACCGAACGAATACCCTAAACACCTAAAACAACACGCTAATCCCTATAGGCCCTAAGGCCACCCTAAAACCATCACCTGTGCTTTTGCGTCACCAGGCCCAAGCTGCATGCTTCTCTCATCTTCTCTAAATCTGCGCTCTCCAAGCCCCAAAAACGCAACTCTACTAAAACGCAACTCTACTATTACTATTACTATTACTATTGGGCCTACTGGGCGAAGAGCTTGGGGATCGGGGCCTCGGGCTGTGGCTTCAGGGCTTGGGGCTTTCTGGTTTGGGGATTGGGCTTTGGGGTGCTGAGGGTCGGTAAGGCACCGATCCCGGTAGCCTGGCCACTACGTCATCCCAGGCCGCCCCCCGAGATCGTTGGTCCTGATGGCAAGATCGCGATAGGTTTCAGGCTTTAGGGTTTAGGTCAGGGTTTCAGGTTCAAGATCCAGGGATGCGGTCTGTAATTTAAGGGCTGTTTTGGGGGGTTTAGGGCTTCGGGTCCAGGGTTTCGAAGGTGTGGGGTTTCGGGTGTTGTTGGGCGCTCTGCAGGGCTGTCGGACTTGCGGGGATATAGTCTCTCGTGGCAATTCAAGCTGAGGGATCAGACCTTTTGGGCTGGAGGCTTTCAGCTAAGGACTGCCATTCGGGTTTAGGGTTTACAATTTGAGTGTATAGGAAAGTAGAACATGCAAGTGCAGAACTGACTCGGCGAAGGTTGCAGCAGCCTCTCAGCCTCTCAACCAAGTTCCTACAATAGCATTACCACTATCTTCTTGCTACCATGAATAGTAGTAATGTAAGACCGGAACCTGGTTCGGGCACCTTGTGGGTTCATAAGCAGTAGGATCCATGCTAAGGCCAGATTGAGAAGCATGCGATAGACCCGGCACTGAGTCAGGGATCACACATTATGCTAAACCAATATGACGACCACGATATCGAGGCAGAACCTTGCAGACAATCGGTGCAGAATCCTTTGACCCTGAGAGAACTTGAAAGAAGCCTCATAAATTCCTGAAAGAAAGCTTCCACTAGACTGCAGAAGTGTTGCGCCCTCACGTTGACATCCCTCTCTGAGCCACGTCCAGGACTCCGGTACTTCCAAAGGTCAAAACACGTCTCCGAATCGTAAGCCCTCTAGCCCAAAGCACTGAACCCCAAACCCTGAATCCCTAACCCCAACTCCCAAGCCACAATACTCAAAACCGAAAATCCCAACCCACCCTACATCCCACGCCCAAAGCCCTCAAGCCTCAACCTTAGACTCCAATGAGCCGGATGCAATCGAACCTCCTCCGAGGTCATTGGGACATACAGCACACCTTCGTTTGCTTGTCATGCTAATGCAGGGGCCCTAATAATTAGATTAGGGGGCTGGAGGTATACTATGCTAAATTGTAATGAACTGCCTCAAGGCTGCGGATTTCCAAAGTAAGTAT